TTGGACAAAGTGCTACTGGAAATCAGCCAGGTTTTCAAACTGAAATGTGAAAGGTACATTATTAACTCTCCCAGGACTGCTGTAGATGAAGATAAAGACTTCAAACTTCAATTCAGGCGATTGATCTGAATAAGTGAGCAGGTAAGTAATTCTGCTGCAATCAGTAGAATTGGTAGAGGCTTAGAGCCTTATCTCATGGCAGCATCTCCTGGGAAAAGGCTCTGAGATTTCATTTAACAAACACTGAGAACTTTCTAGGGCCCAGGCACTGCATTGGCTCTGGGGACAATGCAAGCAATGAATTGTCCCCATATTCAAGGTGTCCCCATAATCTAGAGTCATATTTGTCCTTAACACATATAAACACATAAAAGCACCCTCTTTAGTCATCTGGAGTAAATGAGCTTGGACCAAAGTGCAAACTCAAGATGCACACCCATGGTTGTTCCGGGGAGGTTGACTGTCGATGTATCGTGGCCATTGGGCACCCGGTGGGTATTAAATCAGCCTGGCGGGTGTTTGTCAAATGTGGATGGGGAGTTAAGAGACTCATCTCAGCTTCCTTGAGGAAAGGGTTGCTTCACTCTTGAAGGAATTTACCCAACTTGCCTCCAGTCACTCCTTTAAGTCCTCGTCTAACATCGCAAAGTTGTGATCTTCCAAACTGATGGCAGATATACCTAGCATGCCACATTTGTCTGAATGGGAGCTTAACTCTGGAAATCAGGCCACTAAAATCCTGCAGAAAGGACTACCCAAAGACATAAAGAATTTGATTCTGGGCATTTAAAAGAGGATGACATGAAAGATTCATTTTGTTGATTTACTAGGTGATCTGAAATTTTTCTTTAACAATAACTAATTTTTTTAAATTTCCCACTCATTAAAAGACTTTGGGAACTGCCTTTTCAATCTGGGAAAGCCTCAGCACACTTCTGAGCTAAGCAAGGCCTGTCACACAGCTGATTCAAACTCCTCATCTAACCTTTATATGGCTTAGAGATTGAGGGGAAAAAAGAAAAGACAGAATTTATCAATATATGAAATTGCAGAACAAGCTCTCCACAATATGAATGTTTTCATATTTTTCCGAGACCATCTAGGTACTTTAAAAACTAACTCTGTGGGAGGTGGGGAGGAATCTAGACTATCTCAATAGAGTATTGCCTCTTTGCTCAGTTTGGTGAGGCATGATTATTTGTTGTTGTTTTCTTTTCACTTCAAAAGAAAGGTTTTTGTTTCTGATGATGGATAAAATTTTTATTAAGGGTTGGAGCAATCGCACAGCGGGTAGGGCATTTGCCTTGCACGTGGCCAACCTGGCCGACCCAGGTTTGATTCCTCCGCCCCTCTCAGAGAGCCTGGCAAGCTACGGAGAGTATCTCACCCACACGGCAGAGCCTGGCAAGCTACCCGTGGCGTATTCAATATGCCAAACACAGTAACAAGTGTCACAATGGAGATTTAGTGGGCCTGCTTGAGCAAATCGATGAACAATGGGAGGACAGTGACAGTGACAGTGTAATAGTTCACTTTACTGTTTTCACCACTACAAAGGAAGGGGGAGAACTTTGCGCTGAAGTAGTACTTTTCATTGTCGGGGTCCAGTTTCCTGTCGGGTGGAATGACTCTCTGTTGGGTCAGTGAGGAAGCAAGTCTGAGGAGGGGAAGTCTGGCTGGACGCTCACATGAAGACTGAACCGCACACTTACTCCAAGCCCGAAGTGGGTGGCCGCATCCTCTAGAGGGCGGTCTCGCCACCCACTTCCCTTCCATATCTGCCAGGGTCTGCGAAGCCCCAGTCGGGTTCCATCTCTATCTTCACCTGTGGCACCAGGCACCCTGGGCTCTGCGGGTAGTCGAAAGCATGTGAAGGCGGACAGGAAAATTTGAAGTGCACAGTAATGCTGAATGAGAAAAGGGGAGGAATGATTGACTTCACGTTGGTGGTTTTTCCTGCCAACTCTGACAAGAAACAGGCTTGGCTTTGCCCACAGGCACGTCCCGGGGACTCACAGCAGCCTGTCCGATTGTCTTTAGCTATTGGTCATTTCGCAAATTTTGTTATGCTTCAACCCATTCTTCACATTGCTGCCACAGGGATCACAAACTTAGATCCCAGGACTTCAGCGTATGAGAGACAGGCTCTCTGCCACTGAGTACCATCCCCAGGCCCCCTCATCCACTTTTAGGGTTCCCCTTGTTTTCAGTCAGGCAGACCCACCTTTTCATGGGTGACTCCTTGGGAGCCACAGTGCTGTCGTGTGGCCATGCAGAAACTCCAGCCCTCTCCTGACTATTCTTCCCTGCATTTCATCTTTGATATTTTGTTAGTCTCCTCAATAGCCTTTCAGCCCTTTTCTTTTCTTTTTTCACTGAATCACCATGAGATGCAGTTACAAAGCTTTCATGTTTGAGTTTCAATCGTACAATGATAGAACACCCATCCCTCCACCAGTGTATATTTTCCACCACCAATGTCCCCAGTGAGCTGGAGCGATAGCACAGCGGGTAGGGCATTTGCCTTACACGCGGCCAACATGGCCGACTGGAGTTCGATTCCTCCGCCCCTCTCGGAGAGCCCGGCAAGCTACCGAGAGTATTGAATATGCCAGACACAGTAACAACAAAGTCTCCAATGGAGACGTTACTGGACCCGCTCGAGCAATGTCCCCAGTGGGCTGGGGCAATAGCACAGCGAATAGGGCGTTTGCCTTGCACACAGCCAAACTAGGTTCGATTCCTCCGCCCTTCTTGGAGAGCCTGGCAAGCTACCCAGAGTATCTCGCCCTCACAGCAAACCCTGGCAAGTTCCCCGTGACGTATTTGATATACCAAAAACAGTAACAAGTCTCACAATTTGTTGTGAGACGTTACTGGTGCCCGCTTGAGCAAATCGATGAACAATGGGAGGACAGTGCTACAGTGCTAATGTCCCCAATATCCCTCCCCCCATCCCACCCCTCCCCGCTGCCTCTATGGCAGACAATTTCCCCCATACTCTCTCTCTCTCTCCTTTTGGGTATTATGGTTTGCAATACAGATACTGAGAGGCCATCACGTTTGGTCCTTTATCTACTTTCAGCACACATCTCCCATCCCGAGCGGTCCCTCCAACCATCATTGACTTAATGATCCCTTCTCTATCCCAGATACCTTCTCCCCAGCTCATGATACAGGCTGTCAACCATGGAGCTATATTTCTGGCCCTGTCTCTACTGTCCTTGTCATCCCTTTTCTTATTAAAACCATGCTGTTGTTCTATCCCCCTATGTATTAGAGAATATGATGTCTTGAATCTCACAGCTCATACTTGAATTGTGCTTGAAATAATTTTTCCCATTTTTTATCCTTTCTATCTAGTATTTCTTTTTTTTGTTTTGTTTTTGGGTCATACCCGGTGATGCACAGGGGTTACTCCTGGTTCATGCACTCAGGAATTACTCCTGGTGGTACTCGGGGACCATATGGGATGCTGGGAATCGAACCCGGGTCAGTCATGTGCAAGGCAAATGCCCTACCCGCTGTGCTATCATCCAGCCCCCTATCTAGTATTTCTTAACTGTCTTCTTTGGGGTGTGGGTTGGTCCGCACCCATCAATGTTCAGGGCTTACTACTAGCTCTGGTCTCAGGGTTCACTCCTGGTGGGTTTGGAGGACCATAAGGGATGCCAGAGATTGAACCTGGGTCAGCCCTGTGTAAGTCAAGCACCCTACTCGCTGTACTATCACTCCAGCCCCGCCATCTTCTTTCCTAAAGTTGAAAAGCTATGTCATGTCATTAAGCCAGGAAGGACAGAATGGAGAACCAGTACCAAATAATCAGGGCTGTCTCCCATTGTCTCCCATGGTGGACCAGAGAAGGGCTTTCACTGAGACACTGGTTGACCTGAGGGGTCCCAGCCCCTCAACCTTTCCACCAGTGAACAGTCTCTTACTTTGCACCCAGGGAGTCCACCTGTGGGCCATTACCTTCTATTGAGTTCTGAGTCGCTGAAGGAAGAATCAGAGTGAGTAACTCCAACTGGAAGATCTTTGTCCTAGCATAAAGATACAAAAAGTCAGGCATGGAGAAGGTTTGAGATTATCCTCTTTCTCCAGAACTCCCCTCGCTCATTTCTTCTCCAGTCTATTGTCAGCACTTCCCAAGAGGAATTGCAGGCTGTGTGGCTTCCAGTACCCAGAGGGCTCCGAGCCGGGTTAGGTGGATGGGAAAGAAGGGGTGTCCAGGGAACCAGGGGCAAGGAAGATGGAAGGATACAAATGAGAAGGGAGAAGGGGTAGAAAAATTAAAAAGAAAAGGGTGGTGATGTACCTAGAATGGAAACTGTGACAGGCAACCTTTGGGAGATCTTGCTGTGCCTGTGAGATGCCTAATGTAAGACTTGAAGAAAGTGGGAAGTCTGGGGCTGGGCTCTACCAGAGTGTTCCCAGGAAGCCTATGCTGTCCTGAAGACAGGACTGTCCACAAATAAGAAGCTGAGGCTGGTAGGGGCAAGGGAAACATCAGAACTCCAAGGAGCTCCCTAAGCAGAGCCTGGTCCTACCCAGGCATGGCAGGGATCTACTTTCATCAACTCCACGCTTTCTGTGGATGAAGGGGCTTCTGATTTACTCATAATCTAATGGCAAGTTCTCTAAAGGAAACAACTCAGCTTAGATTTGGGCTCTCAATCACTTCAACAACCACTGGAAAACATAGGTGCTTTCTGGATCAACCTGATTGGAAGTAGCACAAGAAAGATCCAGGAGGGGGCGCCAGAGACAAGGGGAGGAATGAGGAGCTCGGCCTGAACTAAAGCAAGCTTGATCACTGAGTCTGCCAGGGCTGGCTTGGCATTTCCGTCTGGAGTTGCAAACCTCATGGCCCACTTCTCAGAACTCTTCCCAGTGCAGGAATCCTCTAGGAGAGTCGTTAGAGGCCCCTGAGTTAAAGTCAGAAGTTCCTGAGAGAAAGGAGGAAGATTAGCAGCAAGTAGGGAGGAAGAAATGTCATCCTTTTACTTACTGGTAATGCAGTGGATACCGTTTTTGGGGTCTGATGGGACACTTTCCATGGGAATCTTTATAACTGAGGGAGGAGGGAACTGGGGCTGGAGAGAAACAAGGGGAAAAGCTGATAAACACCACCAATACGGCAACTCTGGCTTTCTTGTCAATATGAAAAATTCATGAGTTCAGAGTGTGCAAACCACCATCATCTCCACATCCTGAGTGAATGCTTGCAGTGGGGGGTGGGGGTTAGGAACAGAGGTGGGCAGCAAATCCTGAACCTGCAGAGAGCAAATTGTAGTGGGTCTGCTATCCTAGCCAGGGTAGTTCTATTCCACAAGGTTCCTCAGGAAAGTTTCAACCTTCACAATAACCAGTCACCTGCAGCAAGCCTCACACACTTATAAAGACACATATAAAATGAATTTGTTTAAATTAAATCTCATCTCCTCACTTAATGTAATCAGAGGTGCTTTTCCTCAAGCTTCAATAGTTCCATATACGGCATTCAAGAAATATTTGGTATCCACTCAAATATTTATCAAATAAATCAATAACAGAATGGATCATTTCTCATTAGACTCTTAATTTAGAGTCTCATATTCTTTATTCTCAGAACTAACCTTTACAAATCTTCTAAATCACTTATGAAAAACAGGCAAATAGATCCGGGGCCTCTTTGTTCCTTGACAGAGGACAGTGATCAGGCTGGGGTGGATTCAGTTGACCATTGGAAGATGATTTAGGGCATTTTCCTGCATAATCATCATTGATTTTATGCTGAATATTTTGTGAGGAAGTGCATAATATCGCAAATGTGCTAAAAGCCACTGAATTAAACCCCTTAAAACACACTGAAATGGTTCAAATGAGGGTTAGAGAGATAGCACAGAGGTTAAGGTGGTTGTCTTGTATGAGGTTGTCCCTGGTTTGATCCCTGGCGCTACATAACAGTTCCCCAAGTACCGCCGGGAGTGATCTCTGGGCACAGAGCCAGGAGTAAGCCTTGACTGAGCAAAGCTGAGTATGGCCAAACCACCCCACAAAGTTGTACAAATGATTGGTCTTATATGAATTATACCTCAATTTAAAAAAAGATATATTAAACTTATGATCAGCCCTCTGTCCTTAGTCCACCAAGCTCTGCAACAGGAGCAAACTCTCCATACTAAGAAAAAAATCTTGGAGATGTGATATACAACATGGTAACTCTCATTAACATTATTACACTGTATATTTGAGATATTCTGAGAGTGTATCTTAAAGGATCTCATCACATGGAAAAATGTGAAACTGTGCTAATGTATGTTAACAAAACTTATTTGGGTTATTTTCACACATGCACAAAATTTATCCTTTGTAAATATGTCAATTTATAAATTATGTTAATATAACTTTCAGTATTAATTGGGCTGGAGCAATAGCACAGCGGTTGGGCGTTTGCCTTGCACGCAGCCAACATGGCCGACCCGAGTTCGATTCCTCCGCCCCTCTCGGAGAGCCCGGCAAGCTACCGAGAGTATCTCGCCCGCATGGCAGAGCCTGGCAAGCCACCCGTGATGTATTCGATATGCCAAACACAGTAACAACAAAGTCTCCAATGGAGACGTTACTGGGCCCGCTCGAGCAAATCGATGAACAACGGGAGGACAGTATTAATTATAACACAATAATAAAAACAATAATTTTTTCAGTTGGGTGTGGCCATTATGTAAAATTTTTGGTGCCATAATTGCTTTAAAAGAGGGTGCAATGAAGAAAGGGTGGTAGTGAAATACACTATATGCTAAAATACACTAATGTCAGCAAGGCTTTGCCTAGAAACCACTCTGATGATGTGGCTGGAGTGATAGCACAGCAGGTAGGGCATTTGCCTTGCATGCGGCCAATCTAGGTTCGAATCCCAGCATCCCATATGGGCCCCCGAGCACCGCCAGGAGTAATTCCTGAGTGTAGAGCCAGGAGTAACCCCTGAGCATTGCCAGGTGTGACCCAAAATGCAAAAAAAAAAAAAAAAAAAGAAAGAAAGAAACCACTCTGACGGACATGGACATGAAGACTAGAAGAACAGTTGGGGAGGGGTGCATGGGTGAGGCCTGGGAGGACAGGAATAGTGTGGCATCAGCACAGGCTGCTCAGAACACGCAGATTGTTTCTAAATGTTCAGATGCCAAGTTGAGAAGTGTCCTGAGACTTTCCCCGGACATCTAGCTGGGTGTCCACTGGGAAGCATCTCTTGCCTTCGGGGAACATTTTCATCATCTGCTGAGCACTTGAATTAAACCATTTTTCTGTCTATAGTTTTGTGATTTACTGGGAACTCTGCACTGGCTTTTTGTCCTTGATTCCTTGAGCATTTGGAGGTTAGGACAGGGGGGAAGCAGAAGACAGGAGACAGTATTTCCTTTCTGCCAGAGCTGATGCCTCTTCGTTCCATCCTTTCCCAATACCTGAGGACGGTTTCCAAACAAACTTTGTCCCTTGCCCTCCAATCTGCCCACCGCCAAGGCACCAAGTGAGTCCCCATCAGATCCCCCAAATCATTAGGTGGGTAGGGTGTTACTCTTCACAGCTTCCTCCATGCTGGCCCCTGGGACCTGCACTGCAGTGATAATGGTCCTGAGAGCCATCAGGCATGGGGAAGGCAGAAGTTCCTTTTTCCTTAGGTGGGGGGGGCGGGTGGGGAACCCATTTCCTCTGGTCCACCCTGAGAATAATCTCTCCCCCTTCCTCCCTCCTTCCCTCTCTCCCTCCCTCCCAACTTCTCTCCTTCCTTCTCTCTCTCTCTCTCTCTCTCTCTCTCTCTCTCTCTCTCTCTCTCTCTCTCTCTCTTACACACACATGCGCGCACACACACACACACACACACACACACAGAGCCCCTGACACCCCAGACCAAGATGAGAAGCCCTCTTCAGCCCAGGGAGCATGTGGGAGGGTCTCTAGCCCTCACCCCAGGCCCCACCTCCTCATCACTGTCCTCATGTGCTCCTCTCCTTCTCTTCTTCTTCTTGTCTGTCTCCTTTTTCTCCTTCTCCGGGAGGATGTTGTCAATCCAGGCCAGGTCATGCTGGGAAAAGACGAGATCCAGAAGCCTCCGGACGATGATGAGTCCCAGGATCTGTGAGGGGAGGAAGCCACAGGGTCGATGCCCTAAACACAGCCTCTATCAACAGTTCCAGAACTTTCTCTGGTGGGAGTCTTCGGAAAAAGCCCAAGGTCCCACTGACTATTATGAACTAACTCCCACCACCACCTTCCTCCCTCTCCTTTGTTAAGGGCCAGTGGGTGACCCAGAGCCAGAATTGGAGACCAAGGTATTCTGATCAACAGTGGCTCTAGGACTGGAGCTTGCCCTGAGGCACCTGGGGAGGGAGCTTATATTGTACTGCTGGGTGCCTCCCACCCAGGTTTCTCATTCAGTGGGCCTGAGAATCCGCCTTTCAACCAAGGCTTCCAGGGACTGTTGAAACAGCTCTAGGGGTTGCACTTTAAGATACACTGTCCCTCTGTCCTATTTCTGAGCATTTGTCATCTCTCTGTTAACAAAGTTGAAGGAGACAGGGATATGCGGAAATTCTTTTTAAAAATAAGGTCTAGAAAGTTCTGCTCAATTCAGAGTAAACAAATGAAAGAACACTTGCATTCTTTGGAAAAGATTAAATACTAACCTCTCTCTGTCTGTCTTTCTGTGTCTCACTGTGTCTCTCTGTCTCTGTCTCTCACTCTCTTTCTCTCTCTCACTCTGTGTGTGTGTGTGTGTGGTTGGATTGAACCATACCCAGTGGTGCTCAGGCCTATTCCTGACTCTGTGCACCCCTGGCAGTGCTCAGGACGCCTTACTCAATGTAAGGAATTCAAACCACAGCAAGGCAACGGTCTGAACTCATGCACTATCACTCTGACCCTAAGTGTTGACCTTTTATCAATTTATTTTCAATGTTATTAAGCCACCATGTTCTACAAAGTTGTCATACAATGTTCCAGCACCAATCCCACCACCAGTGTCAACTTCCCTTGTGTGACCTTTTAATAAACCCAGGGGCTCTCTGTAGGGATGACCCTTCCCTCCTGGGAAAGAGCCATGATACAGGACGGAGAGAGCATCCCGTTGGTCCTCAATGCCCCAGTGTCTTGGGTGCCAGGAGATCCGAGATTTTAATAATCCCTGCTCTGAAAACAAATCGTGGTTGCTAGAGGGGAGTTTTCACAGAGACGGGGCTGTTCTGCATCAGCACTCATGACACTTGCCAGCTCTGTGCTCAGACAGAACTCAAAGCTGGGGAATAAATATTCTGGCATGGGGCTGTTGATTGCTTGATTGCTTAGTTATTCAGAACCAGTGAGAGACGGAGAGGGATTCTGGCTCTGCTGTGTGACGTGAACCCCTTTCACAGGCTCTCTGAGTCTCCATCTTCTCACCTGTACTAACAGATGCATCAGAGCTACTGTGGACCAAAGAATCAGTGCTCAGTCTCCGCTCAACTTCCCTATTCCATCCTTCCCTCTCATCAAGCTGAGCCCCAAGAAGGCCCAGCTGAGGAGGAAGCAGCTCCCTCTCCCTGGAGTGGAGATTTATACTCATCTTGTAGCATTGCAAATCCCAGTGCCAAGATTTTTGCAACAAGCTCTGACTACATTGATCTGGGTTAAGGCTGCATATATAGAGATTTAAAAACTCCCAAGTGAGGCTGGGGCCAGAGCGATAGCACAGCGTGGAGGGTGTTTGCCTTGAACACGGCCGACCCAGGTTTGATCTCTGGCATCCCATATGGTCCCCCAGCACTGCCAGAGTGATCCCTGAGTGCAGAGCTAGGAGTAAACCCTGAGCATTGCCAGGTGTGACCCATAAAGCTAATAATAATAAATAATAAATAAATAAAAACTCCCAAGTGAGATTAGAAGTTGTGTCAGGAAAACTGGATAGCCTAATGCAGGCAGGTGGGAAGGGGAAGGAAGGGAAGGGGAGGAGAGGGGAGGGAACTTACATCACCAAAAACAAACCAAAAAACTCCCAAGTGACTTTTCTAAGCAACTAGGGTCAAAAGCTACTTGCTTTGAGCTGGAGAGATAGTAAACAGGTTAAGGCACTTGCCTTACACATGGTCAATCCTGGTTTGAACCCTGGTATCACAATAAGTTCCCCAAGGCACTGTCAGGCTCATTCCTGAGCACAGAGTGAGGAGTAGTCCCTGAGAATCACCAGGTGTGACCCAACACCTCCCCACCACAAAAAAGAAACGCTGGCTTCAGAGTGCTCCCGGGAGCACCTTTGAAATTCTACCTCTGTGTCAACTCCTCGGCTTGAATCCCGAGCCCGAGAGCCGTGGGGCCCTCGCAGCTGCCAACATGCAGTGGCCCCTTCTCTCCATTCCCCACCAAATGCTAATTGTTGCAGGTTTCCTTTCCACCTCGGAACCAGTTCAAACTTGGATGGAATTTTACAGACCTTGTGCTTCAGAGTTCCTCCATCTCTAACGCGTGTTTAGTTCTACACCCTGTCTGCCCCTGCTTCTCTTCCCACTTATGTAGGGCAGAGAAAGGACTTCGAGGTAGCGGGATCTACTTGCCACTTGACTGGCATTCTGGCAGTGGGGGCAGGGAGCTATTTCCTTGCAGAATGTTCTCAGCTTCTCCACCTCTCCCCAGAGCAGGCGGTGGAGAAGCTTTTGCTGCTGGGGGAAGCAGGGTGGATGTAGCTTGCTCTCCTCTTCTCTCCATCCCCTGCCCCTCCCCAAGTCCCAGCCGGACCCCCCTCCTTTTTCATCTTTCTTTCTTCTTTCTTTCTTTCTTTCTTTCTTTCTTTCTTTCTTTCTTTCTTTCTTTCTAATGAATCACCATGAGACATAGTTACAAGCTTTCATGTCTGAGTTACAGTCACACAATGATCAAACTCCCATCCCTCCACCAGTGCACATTCCTCACCACCAATATCCCCAGTATAACCCCCCTTTCCCACCCTCCACCTGCCTCCCTGGCAGACAATATTCCCCATACTCTCTACTTTTGGGCATTATGGTTTGCAATGCAGATACTGATTGGCTATCAGGTCTGGTCCTTTATCTACTTTCAGCACACAACTCCCATCCCCAGCGATCCCTCCAGCCGTCATCTTCTTAGTGATCCCTTCTCTATTCCCCAGCTGGACTCTTACACCCACAAATCTGCCCTATACTTGCCTCTGGGGCCCTGAGGGAGAAAGGGGGCGTCAGAGAGATGGCGAGGAGGAAGTAAGGGTGGCTCCCCGCACCCAGCCTCTCTTACCATGACCGGGAAGATGATGGCTGCCATCGTGGACTTGAGGATCCAGAGCACGGCCAGGCAGAGGATCTGCACCAGCGTGAACAAGTGGATGCGGCGCAGGGGCACGTGGCGCAGGAAGGCGTGGTCCGGCTGGTGTTTGGCGGGCATCAGGAAGAGCTTGCAGCGCTCCCAGAACTGGCGTGAGGACAGCGTAGGGGCTCAGCCAAGTGGGGACAGAGTGGGTGGCCCTGCTGGGGGAGGGGCTGGGAGGCAGGTCCTGAAGCGGGGTCCCAACGGGAAACCCTGGCCAGGCCTTGAAGGCGCTCAGGATGGAAACAAGAGGTGTCTAGGGCATGCTCCAAGATCTTAGGGGACCTTTGGGGTCGGAGCATTTGCCTTACATGCCGCCCACCCAGGTTTGACCCCTAGCATCCCATCTGGTCCCCCGAGCACCGCCAGGAGTAAGTCCTCAGTGCACGAGCCAGGAGAAACCCCCGAGCATTGCCGGATATGACTCCCCCAAAAAAATAGATCTTAGGGGACTCTGCTGAGCCCTGGGTGAGGCTGCAAATGAACATTGCCCACAGGTGCAGAAAATACAAGAAATAAAGAACAAAACAGGACAACTTCCTCCTCAGCAGGGTGTGCACTTAAAGGAAGGAGATGCAGTCCTTTCTAGTCCTTTGCTGTCCTCTGTATGAGAGCAGCGCAGGGCTCTGCCAGGCAGGGGGCCCGCCCGTCAGGTTCTTCATCTATAAAATGGGTATCAGCTGATGAACTTACAGAGCACCTGTAAAGTGCCTGCCACAGCTATTTGACTTGACACAGAGTAAATGGTTATGTCACAACTAACACCTCCATCGAACACGGAAGAAAAGCACTGGAGGCTGGTGACATGTGTGTGCTGCCTGGGAGATCAGTCTGGGGAGGGGCAGCTTACCTGGATGCCGTTCAGGGAGGCCACGCCCATGTAGAGGAAGACTCCATACAGCACGGGCAGGGGGATGTACTGAAACCAGAGGAGGGGTCAGGGTGCTTGCCTAGCAGCTGGCATACCCCAGTTTGATTCCTGGTGCCCCGTATGGTCCCCTGACCCCCACTAGGAACGATCCTGAGTTCAGGGCCAGAAGTAAACCCTGCACGCCACCAGGTATGGACCCCTCCACCCAAAAAGTAGTTAGACTTTAAACACACACACACACACACACACACACACACACACACACACACACCTGCACACACCTGGAGAAAAAGCACAATGGGCTGGAGCATATGCTTTGCAAGTATTGCCAGGAGTGATCCCCAAGTACCAAGCTTCGAGGAAGTGACTCCTGAGCACTACTAAATGTAACCCCAAAAAGCAAAACAAAAAACCCTGTGGCATAAATGCAGAGTTCTAGGGCTGGAGCAGCAGTACAGAGGGCAGGGCATTTGCCTCACATGGAGACAACCAGGGCTTGACCTCCAGCCCCATCCCCAAGCACCCCCAGGAATAATTCCTGAGTGCAGAACAGGAGTAACTCCTCAGCATCAGCAAGTGTGGCCCAAAATAGCTAAAATGGTTTCCTTAGTCCTGCCAAGAATGATCTCTGAGCTCAGAGCTAGGAGTAAACCCTTAGCATCACTGGGTATGCCCTAGCCCCCCCCCCACACCCCCCAATAAAATCCAGAGTCCTGAAGAGTTGTGACAAGGTGCAAGTGAAACACAAAATGAAACTAACAAAATCTTCAGGGCTTGGGACAAGTTGAGGGTCTGCAGAGATGAGTGTGCACCCACCTCATCCCCCAGCATCCTCACTGGGAAAATAACCAAAGATTTCCATCCCATGAAAGGACAGATCATTGCTTATCCTCTAGCTCTAAACATCGCTGAGTCGAATACATGAGTACAGCCATTGTTGAGGTAAGTAGATGTACAGAGAAAGCGGGGTGGAGGAGGCAGTTGGGATAGAGAAGGGACCACTATGACAATGATAGTTGGAAATGATCACTCTGGATAAGAACTGAGTGCTGAAAGTAGGTAAAGAGGCAAATATGGTAACTTCTCAGTACCTGTATTGGGAACCATAATGCCCAAAAGGATAGAGACAGACAGACAGGAAGGCAGGCAGTCAGGCAGACAGGCAGACAGACAGGCAGACAGACAGACAGACAGAAGTGTCTGCCATATAGGCAGGATGGGTGGGGGCACTGGTGGTGGGAACTGGAGACAACGTTGGTTGTGGGAAATGTACACTGGTGAAGGGACTGATGTTGGAACATTGTATGACTGAAACCCAATCATGAACAACTCTGTAACTGTGTGTTTTGCTATGATTCAATGATAAAGAGAGAGAGTGAGTGAGAGTAAGAGAGAGAGAGAGAGAGAAAGAGGAACTTCTGCTTAGTATTTTCACTTAATGACATTCTCCGTGATTCTAAAAATATGAGAGGTCTAGAACAGAAAACTCCTGGAGAAAAGCAGGTGCAGTTCATAACCAATATTGCAACTTTAATAAAAATAGAAATGCCCTGAGTGCCATCAGGGTGACACTGGTGGTGCCCAGCACTGCGAGACCCAAGCGAGCCCCCAACCACCCAAAAATAAAAGCAGTAGTACTAGGAGCCGATTTGTACCCACTAAAAGCTCTAGCATCAGGGTGTATCTCTGATGGCTGCATAAACAAAAGAACAAAAGACTTCAGCTGAACTGTGTGCTTAGGCAGACTGTTCTCCAGTAAAACTTTTGAGTATGGGAGTGGCTATGTCTAGTTTGGTAGACAAAGGCAAACGTAAGAGTTGCGATGTGTGTGGGCATGTGCATGTGCGTGTGCATGCATGTGTGTGTGTGTGTGTGTATAAATTAAGCAAACTTTATAAAAATCATCTTTGGGGCTGGAGTGATAGTACAGCAGATAGGGCATTTGCCTTTCACGCAACTGACCCAGGTTCAATTCCCAGCATCCCATACGGTCCCCCGAGCACCGCCAGGAGTAATTCCTGAGTGTAATGCCAAGAGTAATCCCTGTGCATTGCCAGGTGTGACCCAAAAAGAAAAAAAATCATCTTTGACTGATGGGGACCAGAGCCATCGTACAGTGGGGTGGGCATTTGCCTTGCACATGGCCGACCCAGGTTCAATCCCCAGCATCCATATGGGCCCCCAAGCACGCCCAGGAATAATTCCTGAGTGCAGAGCCAGGAGTAGCCCCCTCAGCATCAGCAAGTGTGGCACAAAATAGCTAAAATAAAATAAAAATTGTCTTTGATTGAATATATTAAATAAAAACACCTCACCCACTTCATTTTTAAAATCGAATGATTCCTGGATAAGGCATCATCCCATTTAGCAGGTAGAAAGGTGCTCCAAAGGACTGTACTAAAAGAAAAGCTTTTATAGTCAGGAGAGAAAGGTAAGGAAGAGTACATTTTTCAGGCTCTAAGGAACAAAAACAAGTCTTTGGGGGATAGATAGGCGGAGGCGGTGGGTCATCTCACCTCCTTCATGAGACCAGGAGAGATTTTTTTAAATTTTTATTAGTGAAACACCAGGAGGTACAGTTGTAGACTTGCAAATTTTTGTGCTTGGGTTTCAATTATACAATGTTTGAGTACTCATCCCTCCACCAGTGCCCATTCTCCACCACCACTGATCCCAGTATCCCTCCCACCCCCCTTAACCCCCCATCCCACCCTGCCTCTGTGGCAGGGCATTCCCTCTCTCTCCTTTTGGGTGCTGTGGTTTGCAAAAGAGGCATTGAGTGGCAATCATGTTTGGTCTACAGTCTACTTTCCGCATGCATCCCCCATCCTGGGAGGGTCTTCCTAACACCCTTTATTTGGTGCTCCCTTCTCTATCTGAGCTGTCTTTTCCCCTAGCATGTGCAGCTGGCCTCCAAGCCATGGAGTGAACCTCAAGACCAGGAAAGATTTTACCTGCTAAATCCTGACCAGAAAACTCCATGCTGACCAGTCACAACTGCATTCCTGGGGCAGTTAGGGACTGAGCACTGGTGAGCTTAGCACAAACAACTGCATTCAGTGCCTGGTATTTTCTTAACAGAAATAAATACTACAATTAAATCTAGAATCTTAGATATGAATTAAGAACTGGCCATACCAAATGCCTTCTCTTTTTTTGTTTTGGTTGTAGCCATACCCAGCAGTGCTCTGGAGCTACTCTACCAGGCTTGGGGATCACTTTCAGAAATACTCAGGGGACCTCCTGTAACTGGAACTTGAAACCAGGCCTCCACATATAAAGCATGCACTCAGGGCTGGAGTGATAGCACAGCAGGTAGGGCATTTGCCTTGCATGCGGTTAACCCGGGTTCGATTTCCAGCATCCCATATGGTCCCCTGAGCACCACCAGGAGTAATTCCTGAGTGCAGAGCCAGGAGTAAGCCCTGTGCATTGCCAGGTGTGACCCAAAAAGAAAAAAAAATGCTCTTTGTCACTAATTATCCAGAAAATGCAAATTTAAAAAAAAAAACAGAATAAGATATACCACAGAGACTGGCGCACATCCAAAAGAACAAGAGCAACCAGTGCTGGTGTGGATGTGGGAAGAAAGGGACTCTCATTCATTGTTGGTGGGAATGCCAACTGGTCCAGCCTTTTTGGAAAACAACATGGTCTCCTCAAAAACTAGAAATTGAGCTCTCATTTGATCCAGCAATACCACTTCTGGGAATATACCCTGGGGGGCCCAAAAACGCACAGCAGAAACACCATCTGCATTCCTACGTTCATTGCAGCACTATTCACCATCGCCAGAATCTGGAAACAACCTGAGTACCCGAGAACAGATGAGTGGATAAAGAAACTATGGCACACCTATACAATGGAATACTATGCAGTGATCAGGAAAAATAAAGTCATGAAATTTTCTTATAGATGTACGGACATAGAGAGTATCATGCTGAGTGTAATGAGTCAGAAGGAGGACAGAAATAGAATGACTGCATTCATTTGTGATATATAAAAATATATACAGTAGAGGGGCTGGAGCAATAGCACAGCAGGTAGGGCGTTTGCCTTGCATGCGGCCGACCCGGGTTCGATTCCCAGCATCCCATATGGTCCCCTGAGCACTGCCAGGGGTAATTCCTGAGTGCAAAACCAGGAGTAACCCCTGTGCATTGCCGGGTGTGACCCAAAAAAAGCAAAAAAAAAAAATATATATATATATACAGTAGAATACTAATATCCAAGGCCATTTTAAACAAGGGCTAGAGAAACTAGTCAGTGGTTGAAATCTACTTCAAGTGTGTGGGACGAAGGGTAGGTAAGATAGAGAAGGGACCAGTAGAACAATAATAGTTGGAAATGATCATGCTGGACAAGAACTGAGTGCTAAAACTAGGTAAAGGGATACACACAACATCCTTTCAGTATCTGTATTGCAAACTACAGTGCCCAAAGGGGGGGAGGGAGAAAGAGGGAGAGAGAGAGAGGAGAAAGAGAGAAAAAAGAGAGAGGGAGAGAGAGAGAGAGAGGAGAGAATTGTCTACCATAGAGGCAGGCGGGGTGTGGGGCGGGGATACGTGTGATGGGGGGACATTGGGGACACTGGTGCTGGGAAGCATACACTGGAGAAGGGATGGGTGTTGGAACACTGTATGACTGAAACCTAATCATGAACAGCTTCATAAGAATCTATCTCACAGTGATTCAATTAAAAAATTTTGGGGAAAAATTGCTCGAGCGGGCCCAGTAACGTCTCCATTGGAGACTTTGTTGTTACTGTGTCTGGCATATCAAATACTCTCGGTAGCTTGCCGGGCTCTCCGAGAGGGGCGGAGGAATCGAACTCGGGTCGGCCATGTTGGCCGCTTGAAAGGGGAAAAATTAAAAATTTTAAATAAAATAATAAAAAATAGAAGATGCCAAAGCATTTTGACCAATGTGGACTCAAGAAAATTCTGCATGATGGTCAGAGTATTACTTAATATTTCATCACATCTGTCACACTAGCCTAGTTTTGGAGTCCTCTTATTTCATAAAATGTATAAATTAATATAAACAAATTGCCCACCAATCAGAAAGGTTTTAGTATTTAAGCCAAAAACTATAGCAGAAATTACTGCTGAATGTTTTTGCCCCTCTCAAGAAGCTCATGTTCTCTCGAACAAATATCTCTCTCTCTCCCTCACATGAAGCCCAGTGCAGCGGAGAGCCTCACCTTCAGGATGGGAGCCAGGAAGACGGAGATCCCTGTCAGGATGAAGACAATGGTGCCTGTCACCCTCTGTTCCCTGGGGAAGAAGAACATACACTTAGGGGCGTTGGGAGATTCCCCACAACTGTTCCAGACTTCCAGTTCTCTGAGGGCACCTTAGTCTTGAAGTCTTGTTCCAAACTAAATTTCTCTCCTGAGACCCCGTTGACCCTCACAGGGAAGGAGAGCGAGCCCATTACCCCCAGGCACAGGCATTGGCAAGGGACAGTCAGGAGTTTGCCCAATGCATGTGTAACTGAAGCACCCCAGTCAGTCTTAGCTCTGCCACTTCCTAGCAGAAAGGTGCCAAGCAAGGCCCTAAGTGTCCATAGCCCAGGGATAACAGCACTGACCTCACAAGGTGGCTGTGAGGAAAAAGGGAGATACAAAGTGCTTAGGGTGGAGGCATGGCCTCCGGGGCTCAGGGGATCCAACCAGGCAGGCATGCCACTGACTGTGTTGTACTACCTTCCGGCCTCTGAAGAGATCCATGCCGTTTTCTTTAAGAAAGATCCTATGTTTGTGGGGCTTAAGGGACATGTTACTGGAGGCTTGAGGGACAGGGCTTGGCTCCTGCAGAGCTGGTGTGAGGGGCAAGAAGGCAGGTGTATTTACCTGAGACCAGGCACACTGAGTTCCACTTCTACCGAGTGAAAACTTTTGGGCATGGGAATGATTGCTTGGGCCCAGCCAGCTAGAACTCAGGGGTCTGGGGGTGGGCCTGGCCCTCACAGACAACCTGGGCAGACCAGGCAGAAGCTCTTGATCAGCCACTTATGAGAATATCAATGCCAGCATGGGCCTCTCTTGAAGACTCTGACAGCTGAGACATACACTTCCCACGCCTGACAGAAGGCACGAGGGACAGGAATGGAGGAGAGAGACTGTGGACCACAGTCTCGGGACTGAGTGGCCAGGAGCTGAACCCACGCATGGGCTTTGGGGAAGAGGAGCTAAAGGGATGAGTCAGAGGGGCCTCTGAGGCCCCTGAGTGGCCAACACATGGGAGAGTGCTTCCGGGTCACTTCAAAGCTAGTCAGGAGAAAGCAGTGAGTCTCCATTCTCTTCCCTGCCTGTAGCAGTGGCGCCTCGTATGATCACAGGGTGTCAGAGCCCTTCTCACCCCAACACCTTGGTAGTGAGATAAAGCTGCCTCTGTCCAACCCCCCCCCACTTCTGTTCTGCCCACTGCCCCCCCTCAGGTGAAGCCCAGCCCAGGCCCCCACCTACCTGACCCCCAGGAACTGGGGCTGCTCCCCAGGGGCGCTGGTCTCTGTCTCCATTTTGAGGCTGTCGATGTGGGCGATAGAGATGACGGTGGCGGCCACGTACCAGGGGAGCCCCATGAAGGAGCACAGGGCCATGAGGATGCCCACCCAGAACAGGTCCAGATGGTAGCCAGCAGCCTTCTGAAGGGGCAGTAAGAGGCAGGGGACAAGCTGTGTAGGGAGCCTTTTCCTGACAGGCGGGGGTGAGCAGAGAGACAGACCCAAGTAGCCATGTTTGTGGAAGCCAAGTCTAAGGGCTCTCCTCAGGGGGGTGCTCTGAGCCAGCCAACACCCGAGACATTCAGGAGTCACCAACCCCAGGTATGGCCCCTGTTACCTTCATGTCTCTAAGGGGGAGTCAGGGTGGTGGCATGGTGATGGAGGAGACAGTACTCAAGCTGGGAGTGGCCCTAAGTTTGGGGGTTCGGGAAAGAGCTACCACATCTCCACAGAGCTCATGGGAGCAGACCAAGCCTCACAGGGTCTGTTACCACAGGCACTGGGAGGAGGGAGCAGAAAGTCGGGATCTCCTCAGAGCTGGAGGAGAGGCTGCGGGCAGAACTACAGAGGCGTTTTGTCTGCTCAGGGTCAGCAATGCCCCTTTAGCATATGTTCAGACACCCCCACCCAAGGTCACACAGAGTGAAGGTGTGGCTTTAGAGCAAGCAAGAACACTCGTCCAGCAGTGCCCCTCAGAGGGCCAGATCCTGGGACGGTCACGCTGGCCACTGACCTCACTCAGACTGAAGGTCACAGAACCACATCCACAGACCAGAACTCTAGGCCTCCTACCTCACACTTTGTCTCAGCAAAGGCCCAGCACTTCAAAAGAAGCTCATTTGCCTTCCTTGGTTCCTTCTGATTTTGGGGGGGGGGGAGGAACGGGTTTGGGGAGCATGGGCAGAGAAAGAAGAGTTTGTGCCTACCCCAGCACCGGCTCACCCTCAGCTTGTTCTCCTTCCGGTTGACTATGACAGCCGTGATCTGCTGGTCCATGAAGATCAGGATGGTCACCAGCAGTGCAGGCAGGATGCTGGCGAGGTACACCCACCATGGATTCTTCCCGAAGGGGGCCACAAACCAGCCTCGGTCAGGCCGCGTGGGCTGTGTGGAGCAGAGGGAGAAGCCTTTTGCTCCCTCCTGGCCCACCACCCTCAGTCCCTCTCCATTCTGCCTTCCCAGTGCAATCTTTTTTGAGTCACGCCCAGCGATGCTCAGGGGTTACTCCTGGCTCTGCACTCAGGAATTACTCCTGGCAGTGCTCGGGGACCACATAGGATGCCAGGGATTGAACCGGGGTGGGCTGAGTGCAAGGCAAATGCCCAACGCACTGTGCAATCTTGTCCCTGAAAGCCATAATGACGAGGGAGCACAGGAACAGACACGGGCAGGCCATGGTGTCCCCTCGGCGGGACTAAGATGGTTAGTGGCGGCCCCCTGAGATTGCCTGGGAAGGAGCAAGGTGAACATCGGGCAGTGTCAGGCACCTCTTTCAGACACCAGTAGCAAAATATGAAGCAGAAATAAAGCCCAAGAGTCAAGAAACCGTGATAGACCTGATGCATCTGCCTCTCTCCTGCACCTGTCTGGGGAGAGTTGCAGAACTACCCGAAAGATGCCAACAGAATTCAGACCCACATGCTGGGAAGAAGGGATCCATATGGAGAGGACTGGACTGATGCTTCTCTTAGTTCTATTAAGAGACAGAAGTGCCATTTGTGGAATATAAAGTAACATAATAGGAGAATAACACCTAAGGAGAGAATTTTTTGGGTTTTTTTTCTTTTTTCTTTTGCTTTTTGGGTCACACCTGGCAATGCACAGAGGTTACTCCTGGCTCTGCACTCAGAAATCACTCCTGGCGGTGCTCAGGGGACCATATGGGATGCTGGGAATCGAACCTCACCTAAGGATAGTAGAGATAAGGGCTAGGAGTATCATTCCACAGCTTGGAAGCTGAGCTCACGTGCTGGGGAAAAAGGCAGCTGGGATAGAGAAGGGACCACTAAGTAAATGATGGTTGGAGGGCTCGCTCAGGATGGGAGATGTGTGCTGAAAGTAGACTATGGACCAAACATGATGGCCACTTACTACCTGTATTGCAAACCACAACACCCAAAGGGAGAGAGTAAGAGGGAATGTGCCTGCCACAGAGGCAGGGGGTTGGAAGGGGTGGGGTGGTGGGAGGGATCCTGGAAACATTGGTGGCGGAGAATTAACACTGATGGAGGTATAAGTATTTGAACATTGTTTGATTGAAACATCATCATGAAAGTCTGTAACTGTATCTCATGATGATTCATTAAAGAGACAGACAGATAGACAGACAGAGAGACAGACAGAGACAGAGAGACAGAGGTGCGTGAATTTTCAAGGCTAGCGTGAATCTTTACAAGATGTGTTAAAGCTACTTAGGAGAACCCTGAAGCAAAGTATCACAGAAGTCAAACCCTCAAAGGCCAGCAGGTTCAGCTCTGGCCCTACACTCCCTGGTCCGTTTACACGGAAGCTGCTCTTTCTGTCAGGGAGCAGGGCTTGAGCTAGCAAATGCACCGTCTCTGGACTAACAGTGAGTTCCTGAAGCTGGAGCTTGGCCTCCTGAATCCCCTGACGGGTTTGTTCAAAAGAAGAGCAGTAGGCCTGAGCCCCAGAGTTCTGATTTCACTGGCTGAGGAGGAGTCTGAGAATTTGTATTTCCAACAAGTTTCCAGGTGATGATATGATGCTGCTTGGGGCTATCAAGAATCACATTAAACCAGAGCTCCTCTGGACCAGCTTTTATTGTTATTTATTTTTAGGGTTTTTTTGTTTTGTTTTGGGGCCACATGCAATGATGTTCAGGGCTTACTCCTGGCTCTGCACTCATTAATTGCTCCTGGCAGTGCTGGAGACCATATGCCAAGCACCCTACCCACTGTGCTATGGCTCTGGGCTTTATAACATAATCATCATCATCATCATCATCATATTATTATTATTATTATTATTATTATTGTTTTGGGGGCCACACTCAGTGGTTTTCATGGCTTACCCCTGACTCTGTCCTCAGAAATTACTCCTGGCAGGCTCAGGAACTATATGGGCTGTCAGGGATCAAACTGGGTCACCAGTGTGCAAGGCAACTGTGTGCCCTACCTGCTATACTATCGCTTCAGACCTGGCCCAGCTTCCAGAATGCCACAAGCAGGAAACTGAAGCCCCTCAAGGGGGAATCAAGGGCCTTCATTTGGACTACAGGGTGGATTCTAGTCCCTTCCCTGCTGGTGGCTACGCAGTGGGACTTCATGTGGAAAAAGTCTCCTTGTAGAACTTGAGAGATAGTACAGCAGGTAGGGAGCTTGCCTTGTGTGCAGCAGACCTAGGTTCCATCCCCAGCATCCCATATGATCCCCTGAATACCAGCAGGTATGATCCTTGAGTGCAGAGCCAGGAGTAAGCCCCGAGCACCACCAAGTGTGGCCCAAAAACAAAAAGAAAAGAAAAGAAAAGAAAAGAAAAGAAAAGAAAAGGAAAAAGTCTCCTCCCCCAACTTCACAAAGGCTCACACCCCGAAAGGCTGCACAGATCCCCCTGCTTGGAGGGAGGGTGCAGAATATACCACTAGAGGCTATGCACGATTGCTTGGCAGAGAGCACAGTGAAGTTGGATCAGTGTGGCAGGGAGAGGGTCTGTTGCGGGAGGGCAGGGGCCAGGCAAACCTTGATGACACTGGGCACATGAAGTTTGGGAGTTTCTAGGCCGAAACACGCATCGATTCCACAGAACATCAGGATGGAAAAGATGATGGAGAAGTCGGCTATCAGGGCCCGGACCTGCAGAAAGATGAGCAAGTGAGTGGATAACTCTCCCATCCACCTGTCAATGCCATCTCTAAAGGAAAAACACAGTTAAACACTGGGGTCAGGAGATAGTTTAAGCAGTAGAGGAAATGCCTAATATGGGGTAGGCCCTGAAACTGATACCCAGTTTCCCTAAGATTTTTAAAAATCTTCCTCAAAACAAAAATTCAGGTCTGGAGGGGGTAACTAGTGAGTTCTAACAAACCTTCAAAGAAGTCTTATTACCTATACTCCTCAAGCTTTTCAATTCCTTTTAAAAGATGTTATAAAGCTGGGGCCGGAGCGATAATAGCAGGTAGGGCATTTCCTTGCATGGGGCTGACCCAGGTTCAATCCCTGGTATCCCATATAGTCCCCCAAGCACCGCCAGAAATAATTCCTGAGTGCAGAGCCAGGAGTAACCCCTGAGCACCACTGAGTGTGACCCAAAAAGCAAAAAAAAAAAAAGATTCTATAAAGCCAATGTTAGTGTACTACCGAAAGCAGAGATACTATAAGAAATAAAATTACAGAGCAAAACCCCTAATAAACACTGATGTAAAGTTATGCAACAAAATATTAGTGAATCCAAATCCAACAATACTTTAAGAGGGTCATATACCATGATCAAGTAGGATTCATTCATTCCAAGGATGCAAGGATGGTTCATTATGTGCAAATTGATTAATCTATCATATCAACAAAAATTAAAGTAATATGATTATATCAACAGACACAGTAAACTTTTGACAAGACTCAACATCCATTCATAATATTAAAACTCAACTCCTCCTGGGCAATCTCAGAGGGGGTGGGCCAGCTCTCAGCCAAACAAAGCCCCATGGCCATGCCTCTGGCTGGACCCCACCGCCTCAGACTGAGCACCACAGAGACCCTAACCTGCCAAAAGCATCAGCTGCAAGGGTCTTTGTGGCTGAAACTCCAGGCCTTCCTGGAATCCGGAGGGGCAACCTCCCCCCACCTTCTTGTACTTCCGAAAGCCCTGGATGCCATGCTTAGGGTGCCATACCCATGCCTTACTGCCACCACCAGGAGACTCCATCTACCCGCCTTGTTCCAAATTCTGCAGCAAGCAGATGAATCCGCAGTCACACCATGTCTCTAAATTCTACAACATTGAGAGCCCAGCAGTAGCACACCAGATTGGATGGGTTATAACAAGAAGCCAACCAATGTCGACTAACAGAAACAACACAGAAAGCTTAACTTGCGACAACAGCTTGTACACCCTCAGACAAGGATTTGATGTCCCCATGGGGAGATACAACGGTTTCACAACTTTGCTTCTACGAAAATATTTTTGGATCATTCCATTAGCCTTTAATGGGAACAGCAAGCACTTCACTGTAGCACTGTCCTCCCATTGTTCATCAATTTTCTCGAGCAGGCCCAGTAATGTCTCCAGTGTGAGACTTGTTGTTACTGTGTTTGGTGTATTGAATACGTCATGGGTAGCTTGCCAGGCTTTGCCGTGTGGGTGAGATACTCTCGGTAGCTTGCTGGGCTCTCTGAGAGGGGCAAAGGAATCAAACCCGTCTTGGCCGGGCCAGCCACATGCAAGGCAAACACCCTACCGCTGGGAACAGCAAAACAAAATAAATTGTTGTGGGGCTGCTGTGGGGGCAGCCTTGAGGGGTGGTTGGGAAAACAGAGACGGTGGTGGAGGGAAGGTGACGTGGTGTGGGATGATTGGGGTTGGAGTATGGAATGCCAGAGAGAAAGTTTGATGGGCTGAGTGCAGGCTTTGCAAGGGTAGACTTGGGTTAAATTTCCAACACCACATGGTTCCCCAAGGACTAGCAGGATCAACCCCTGAGCACTAAGTAGTACTCAAGAATATACCTCAAGATAGTACCAATCATACATACTAAACCCACCACAAAAACATCATCTACAATTGTAAAAAAACTGAAAACTTTCCCTCAAAAAGCACATAGCTTGGAAATATACAAAAAAGATTCCAACTTCATCAGTTACCCAGAAAATAAAATTCTTAAATACACAATAGTGTTCTACTGTGCACAAGTCTGACAATACCAAGTGTCATCAGGGGGAACGTGACAACCTGGGAATGCAGAGCTCTTCCGTTCTAAATTCGTGTTTCTGTTGTTGTTATTTTTGGGTTTTTTTGGGTTTTTGGGGGGGGTCACACCCGGCGATGCTCAGGGGTTACTCCTGGCTCATGCACTCAGAAATTGCTTCTGGCGGTGCTCAGGGGACCATATGGGGTGCTGGGAATCGAACCTGTGTTGGGCATGTTGGCTGCGTGCAAGGCAAACGCCCTACCCGCTGTGCTATCGCTCCAGCCCCTGTTATTTTGTTTTTAAAATTATTAATTTTAAAATTTAAAATATTTTTTAATGGCCAGACCCAGAGGTGCCAGGGCTTGGTGCTTCCGGTCTGGCAATTTAGTGTGAAAGTAGACAAGATGCCCAGGGTGTGAGGTGGGCCATGCAGTGCCAGTTACCAAACTGAGGGCCGCAGGCATGGAAAGCTAGTGCCCTCCCCCTTGAGCCCCATCCCTGGCCATGCCAGATCTGTGCCCTGACCTTGGTGGTGCCTCCGTGAGCAAGGACTCATGTGGGACTGCCCCATCAGGGAACTGGGGCCCGAACCTCTCGGGAACTCTCAGCCAGGACTTGCCTGGGGAACAGCTAACTGCAGGGAAACGTACCTTGGTTGGGAAATACCGACTGAATTTGAATTTCTTCAAGGTCAGGGTCATAGAGTATGTCCCGAAGAACAGGATGAAGGACAGGAGGGCCAGGTCTGGGACAAACTGGCAGGAGTTCCCGAGCAGCCGCCCGCCGTACTTCAGACACTCCTTCTTGCTCAGCAGAGACCAGTCCAGAGCTGTGAGGTTAAGGGGGTTGTACTTGGAGACCAAGCACAGGAGAGAGAGAGTCAGGTCTTCCCTGAGCGGGGAGCTGTATCCTGCCTGCTGCAGCCCCCAGAGAGCCTGCACACCCCTTCCTCCCTCCTGGGACCCCCAGCCCTCCTGGTCCACGGAGCCCGCACAGAGCTCCCAGGAATGATGGCAGGCCCACGTCTGCTTCTTACAGGCAACTTAGCCCCGGACGCAACCCCATTTGCCCCTTGTACTTAAGGGTCCAAAACAGGCACTGACTCATGCTCTCTCCTCCTAAGACAGGGTGTAAAGCTTACAAGCTCAGAAAACGCCTCTGAGGTGACGATGCCACTGGCCAGAGTGACCCAAGAGAGGGGCAGCTAAAAGGGTCAGCTCCAGGGTGCTAAAATGAAAGCTCCTCTCCCAGGTTCTCTCAAGCAGCTGCCTGGCCCTTATTTAGGATTTCCCACCCTGTGCACCCCCACGGCTGACCACCATCCCCAGACCTCTGCCTCTTATTACTAGGAATCACAACCCAGATCTGAGATGCCGGGGACAGATCCAGGGGAGGCACTAACAAATGCTTGGGGGTCTGTGGAGTGCCCTTGTGGGGTGGGATGGACGAGTGGGAGATGGTCAAGGGTAGGAGCCCAGGTAGAAGGCAAAGAAGAAGGTTGGAAGGTGGGTGGGAAGCATCTCTGATGCTCCGTAGTACATTCTGCTCCCTTCCTTCCTGCTTTTTCTCTTTCCTGTACCCACACTTGGCTGGTATTTATGTACATGACTTTCACAGAACAGATGTTGGGGGTATGGGCTTTGTTCTGTTTTGTTTATTTGTCTGCTTGGGATTTGGTGAATGGGATCATACCCAGGGTGCGATACACACAAAGCATGTGCTACTATTAAACTCCATCTCCAGACCCAATGCAAGTTTTAAAATAGGGGTGGGGGTGAGGAGCTGTGGCTGGAGATAGTACAGTGAGTAAGCTGCTTGCTTTGCACCTGGATGACCTGGGTTCAACCCCAAGCACTGCATATGCTCCCCTGACCACTGCCAAGAGTAATACCTGAGCACAATCAGGTATGACCCAACTCCCCTCCCAATTTGAAATAAAAAAAAAACATGGGGGTTTGGAACCATAAAGATACCAGGGATTAAGGCACCTTCCTGGCATGCTGCCAAGTCCAGTTTGATCCCTGGCAACACCAGGAGTCACTTCTGAGCACAGAGCCAGGAACAGATCCTGAGTATTGCTGGACATAGTTCTCTGAACCAAAAATTAACCCATGATGAGTTAACCAATTAATCAACAATTTTTAACGGGAACTGATAACACACGCTTAAATTGAGAAGATGCACTCATGGGTCCCTGTGGGTGACCCTGGCTGGCCTGGGTGCTGACCTCTGCGAATCTGGAATTCCACACACCATCTCTTGCCCAACTCTCTCTAACTTGAAACATACAACACCTAGAGGACTCACCAGAGAAGCGTTGGTGCTGGGCACGGGCAGGACCGAAGCATTGAGCGCCGTCGTATTTGCTGCGAGGGGAAAGGACGTGGAGAAGGGTCAGCAGGTGCTGGCTCCAGAGTCTCTGCACCCCTCCCTCGGGCACCCCCACTCTTTTCATTTGTCTCCGTTTGGGGGGCACTCCTGCTGCTGCTCAGGGGTCACTCCTGGCTCTGCACTCAGGAATTGCTCCTGGAAATGCTCAGGGGACTGGAGATGGAGCCCAGGTCGGCGAGGGTAATCCAAGAGCCCTTCCCACTGTACTTACTGCTCCTTCCCCCAAACCCCCATTCGTCCCCCTCTCCCTCCCATCCCTGGATCCTTAGAGTCGGACATAGGCAGCACATGAGTCCAGAGCCTTTTCTTTCTCCTCACTTTGTAGAAGCAGCAGAAGAGAGCCCTGGCCACTCTCTGACAGGCAAAGCTGGCTGGGTAGCAAAGCTCCTACCCTGAGGAACCAGCTTCCAAGACCCAAATCCTGACTCCTTCTGCTGCTCAGTCAGGAGGCCATGAGTGAACAGAAGTTCCTGAATAGACAGGCCCTGTGGGTGACCTCAGCCCTATGCCAAGGGCCATGCTCCTCAACGTTCTCACAGAACTAACCCCCTAGTCCTGCTTGGGGCAGGCCCTTCCATTGTCTCACTACAAGAGTCTCCCACATTTAAAGATGGGGTAACTGAGGCCCAGAGAGGCTAACTATCTATCCACGGCTCATTCATGGCAAGTCCCTGATCCACCTCCCAGCCCCCTGCAGGAAACCAGCCTCCCAGCCCCCAGCCCTCCCTTTGCCCGCTTCCCCATCCTGAGTTGGTGTGGTTCTATTTTTAGGGTCTCTGGTCCTGCAAAAACCTTTCAGTTCTCTGCTTTACTAACTGTGCCATGAATTGGGGAAAACTGGAGAAAAAAAAGAACCGGGGCTAGGACCTTAAAGCCAAATGGGAACTCAAAGGTGTTGCTCGGCCCTTCACTCCACCTCTGCTCTGCGCCCCCTTCGCTGGCCTCAGGGGGCCTCCCTGTAAGCTGAGTGGGCAAGGGTGTCCCTGTGGGGCAGGAGAAGAGATTAGAGAAACTCCCTTCCCTCCAGGGTGTGGCCATTCATACACAAGGCAGTCTAGGAAGGACCCTGGCTTCCCCTCCTGCCCCTGTCCCCACCAGAACCAGGTCCTCCTCTATCCCCTCCTCCACATCAGAGTCAGCTCAGCAGCCAGCCAGGAGGCAGGAGCAGGCCCACTGGCCACCACATTGGTAATCCATGCGGACAGCAGTGCTCCCTGGGCACCTTCCTGCAGACTGTCCCAACTGAGACAGGAACCCAGAAGCAAGAAGGGGGCATTCAGGCAGCTGTGCAGGGCAGAAGGGATCCCAGGGCCCTTCTCAGGGGCCCACTTCTGGGCAGTGGGGGCTGGGAGTGGCTAAGAAGATCAGTCTTGAGCCAAGGTAGAACACCCTAGAAACACCTAGAAACCCATCAGTGCATTCCAATGATCCTGAACAAAGCAGCACTTCCTAGAAATCATGCCATCTTCCCTCACCAAAGCTGACCAAGAGGTGAAACAGAATTCACAGGGTGCAGAGAAAGTGGAAGGAGGAGGTTGATGGGGTTCCCTGCACCACCCCACTAACGTGGGGAGATCTGGAATCTTCCATGATCCAAGTTGCTGGATCAGACATTCCCCGAGTGTCTCTGCTTCAGTTCAGCCATGCTTTTAAACCAATCACTCTGTGGGGCATCACTGAAAGCCACTTGGAGATGAAGAACTCTGAGATGGAAAGTTCCAGAAAGGGTCCAACTATCACAGAGCTTTAAATGCTAGTGATTCCATGGTGGTACTCACTTGGGATTGAAAGCAGCCAAATCAGTTTGTGCAGCATCGATAAATAGAATACAAATCAGTTACAATGGGAGCAGATCAATTTAAAAAGAGAATGTCCCCCAAAAATGATTTTCTAAGGAAAACTGACAAAAAGCGATTAAGGTTACAGTCAGGCTGGGTTCTCAAGCATGCATCAGAAGCATCCAGAAAGAGTAATCTCTCTGGCAGTACCCCAGATTGTTTTTCTTATTCTGCAGATCTAGGATGGAATTCACTCTATATTTTTCATATTTTTGAGAGACACAGCAGTGCACAGGAGCTACTCCTGGCCCTGTACTCAGTGGTCACTCTCAACGGTGCTCAGGGGACCAGGTAGTACTACAGACCAAGCACCAGCCCTTCCAGCCATCTCTCCAGCTCTAGAGTTTACATTTTAACAAGTTCCCACGTGCTGCAGATTCTGTGGATCGAGGGACCACACTTTGAGAACCAGGATAATATCAGGATCCTAAAGGTAGAAGAGACACCTGGTACCCAGGCAAATCCTGAAGGGGGTGAGAGCTGGTGGGTCCCATTACACCACTCACATGCGCTCCTAGATCCCCTACCCAAAAGCTCCCCCTCACAAATCTTATTTAGTTTCTCCTGGGTCAGAGCAATAGAACCGTAGGTAAGGCACTTGACTTGCACACGGCTGACCCAGGTTCGATCCCTGGCATCCCATATGGTTCCCTGGGCCCCACTAGCAGTGATTCCTGAGTGCAGAGCCAGGAAAAAACCCTGAGCCCCACCAGGTGTAGAAAAACAAAAAACAAACAAACAAAAAACCTCACATGGTTTCGTTTCTCCTACAGAAAAAATAATGCTCACTAGACCCCAAGTTTGAACCCCTTCTAAGAGACCAAGGACATATGCCAGCAAAAAGAATATCTGTGCTCAGTGCAATGGGTCCACAGGCCAGAGGGCCTAAGAAGCAAGGGGTGCAGGGCAGGGGTGGCCTGCTGGAGCACTGCTAGGAATAACTGCCAGGAGTGACCCCTGAGTATCACCAGGTGTGACCCAAAAAACAAAAACAAGAACAACAAAAAGATGTACTAAGGGACTGAACAATACAATATCTACTTAGGTCACATTCCATCCCAACCTGGGGAGAGGTTCAAACAGCTCATAGGACTTTCACGAAATCAGCTAGGGAAACTGGGGCAAGGGTGGCACTTGAGAGTGTCCAGACATTTCCGTGCTGTTTGTGTGTCCAGCCCGCTGGTGTGCAGAGGCAGAAGAAGGATATGGCACTGTGGCAGCCCAGGGAGGTTCTGAAGTCGCCTCAAGGCATGATTATGACTAAGAAGGGCACTCACAGTCCAAAGTATGGAAGAACTAACTTTACCTCATCAGAAAGGAGCTAATAGAACCCAGAGGATGACTGGGTTGACCAGTTGACTAATTCAGTTTCCCACCCAGACCAAAAATCTTTTCAAAACACCTGTGACAGATCTGAGTTGTGTCCAAGTAATTGGCTCTCACCCACAAGGACCAACACTGCCTCCGCATAAGCCCTTTCCTGAATTCAGCCAGTCCCTGGTTCCCCGGAACTTCCTATCCTAGATCTGTGCCTATCCTGACATTGTATGAGGTCCCTCTGCACCTGCTGCAGGCAAGCTAGCCCTTCTCTCACATCTCTTCAAGAGGCAGACTCACACTGAGTTCTCCAACTTCTATTCAGAAGACGTAGTCACCCACCCCGAGACCTCCACGTGTAGGACCACCTCTTCCCCGGGCTGGTGACCAACACATGTGAAAACACAGGCAGCTTTGAGACCTTGTGAGCTCAAAGGCAGCTCAGAGGCTGGGAAAGATTCTAGGGGCTACAGATCTCCTGCTGGCCTGATGCAGGAACCCCCAGGGAAATTCCTGGCAGCTGTGCCCTCCACATCACCCCAAACTGAAGCAGAGCTTGACTCTCCCCCATGCTGGAGACCCACTGCTCTACCCAATCACAAGCCTGGCCCTGGCATTGAGGCCCTTACAAGAGCTTCTGTCTCTGATCATAGCTAGTTCTGGCTGGGGAGTCTGTGTTCCCTTTGACCCACAGCCCAAACAGGAACTGTGTTTCTGGGTTTGAGGAGAGAGTTGAGGTTGGGATGAGAGTTGAGGTAGGTTTGTGGGGGGGATGGGTGGGCAGGGACCCAGGGCAGCTCTGGGTCACCCGGTCACCTGTGTCAGGTGCGACACATTCGCACTTGTAGGTGGTGATGGAGTCTGGTTTGAAGTCCATGTTGATGGGGTAATACTTGAAGGCACCGATCATCTTCTTGATGGCATCATAGATGAAAATGAAGCTGATGAGGGTGGAGAAGCCCTCCTCGGTGAAGCGGGTGATGTACTTGATGATGAAGCTGGCGTCCGTGGCCACTAGGATAAGGCACTGGAGGGCTGAGTGCAGGCCGATCCAGAGGCGAAACTCCATGTAGTCCAGGCCGTTGCCTCTGGAAGGCAGACAGAGGGACGCCAGAGACTCTAGCCCAGAGCTGGATCAGTGCCCAGCCCAAGCCTAAGTGCTGCCTCATCCCCTCCCACAGCCCAGACATCCTCCAAGGAACTAGGGACAGGAACAGTTGTGTGTGAGTGTGTGTGGGGGGGGCGGGGGGTGTCTGATCTTTGAAAATTCTGGGAGAGAACTCTGACACGCGTGCATGTACGTGTGCATTTATGGGAATCAAATGCCAAGTTCCATGCATGCAAGACAGATGCTTTATCACTGAGCCACATGCTCAGAACCTAGGAAAGGGTCCTGGGAGCGGTGGGCAGTGCCAATCACCCCCATGAAGAGAGAGAGCAGGGATCTCTAGACTGGCAGAGCCAAGTCAAGTGCAAGAAATGACCTCAGGCTGTAGACGGCCTGGAGGGACGTCACTAAACTGCTGCCAGGGTCGGGGGGCCCTACCCTCCAGCTGCAAACATTTCTCCTCTATACTGTTGCCTTTCAAGCATGCCGCCCATGGACAGATGAGTGGACTCTCCTACCGTCCTCTGCGCTGTGCAAATAAGCTGAGGGACCCAGCAGCCCGTTCCTCAGGGAACTCCGCTGAGGGGCTCTGCGTTGTGGCTATTCCTCTATCCCTGGCACGAAAGCAGGCCCACCCCAGGGCACCTACTTGCTGAAGTCGAAGAGAAGCTTTTCAAAGATGAGAATGGGCCCCGTGCTGCTGAGGATGATGAGAGGCTGTCCCGAGAAGAGGCAGAACAGGGATCCAGCCATGGCAGTGCCCAGGAAGCTCTCCATCACTCCCTGGGACAGGAAAGCAGGAGGGGCACACTTGGCAGGAGACCAGAGAGTGCCCCAGAGCCCTGGGTCTTGGTCCATCTCTCAGCAGCCCTGGGCAGCTGCACGGCCCTCACGTGCTAGTGTCACTCTCACTCCATCGGGAGAAAGGCCCTGCCTCTGGTACCCCAGTCTGTCCCTGAGGGAGGTGCCTGTCCATTCATCCTTTAGTCCAGCCACTGTGAGTGCTTGCAGAGGCCAGACCATTTCTTCCTTCCAAATCTAGAGATCATCTCATTCATTCACTTCAACTCCACAAAGCCTGTACCAGCCATTTGCCAGGTACTGGGCACCTCTCCATGAACAAGATAATAATGTAACCAGGTCATTTCCAGGCAAGAGCATCAAACATTGGTGTTTCGGGTGAGTTCTAAGGAAGGGACATGTTCTAAGCATTGCGAGTTATTCCGCAGCTTCTCTGGCTTTTACCCACCAGAAGACCACCCAGTTCCCCCTCCCCCATTACAACAGCACAAGATGTCTCCAGATCATGCCCAATGTCTCTCAGAGGCCCAAACAACTCGTTTCTGAACACATGGGCCAATGAGTGGGAGAAGCTGAACTGAGGTCAGGAAGTCACTGGAGTTCACTGTGCAAGTGAGACGTACAGCAAGGACACCCAGGAGGCAGACACATGGAAGCTGAGGACCAAAAACTGAGAACGTAATATTTGGTGGGTCGGGAGGCACACCCAGCAGTGTCAGGGTAACTCCTGGCTCTCTGCTCAGGGATCATTCCTGGTAGGACTCAGGGGATGGAAAGCCCAGAACTGAACTCAGGGTGGTTGGGTGCAGAGCAAACACCCTCCAGCCGTACTATGTTCCAGCCCCCGAGGAGGCAATTTTCCCAGAGAACAATGTCAGTGGAGCCCAAAGAGGGAACCAATGAAAGAGGAGTGAGTCCTGTGTGGGACAGAGAGCTCAGGCCTGGCCGGAAGCAGGTGCCAGCTGGGCAAGGCATTGGGAACATTGGGAGACCACGCTCATGGGCACAGGGGCTTGTCATCAGGGTCACACTGGCAGGCTGAGCTCCTGGGCAAACAGTGACACCCGAGAAGCAAGGCAGACCTGGCCATGCCATGCTGGGGAGCAGAGGCTTCCACAGGTAGGATGTGTGAGTTGGGGGATCCCCAGGGAAGACAAGTGACAATCCACTCAAGAAAGTAGGACGGCTGGAGAAATGCCATCTGTCTTTTAAAAACTTTCATGGGACACACATAGAAGGACTGTACTCATTTGTGGAATATCAAGTAATAGAATGGGAGACTAACACCCAAGGATGGTAGAGATAAGAACCAGGAGGATTGCTCCATGGCTTGGAAGCTGGCCTCACATGCTGGAGTAAAAGGCAGCTCAGATAGAGAAGGGACCACCAAGTAAAGGGTGCTTGGAGGGCCCGCTCGGGATGGGAGATGTGTGCTGAAAGTGGACTATAGAACGAACACGATGGCCACTTAATGCCTGCATTGCAAACCACAACACCCAAAGGGAGAGAGAGAGTACAAGGGAATCCGCCTGCCACGGGGGGAGGGGGGGTGTGGGAGGGGGGAATGTGGCGGGGGTGGTGGGAGGGATACTGGAAACATTGGTGATGGAGAATGGGCACTGGTGGAGGGAGGGTACTCGATCATTGTATGACTGAAATGTAAGCATAAAAATTTGTAAATTTGTAACTGTACCTCACGGGGATTCATTAAAATTAATTAATTAGTTAAAAAAAACTTTCTGCCAAGGCGCTTGCCTTACACAGCCATTGACACCCTCCCAGTCCCCCGACACTGTGTATGGTACTCCCCAGCATCTCCAGAAGTTACCCTGAGCAGGCCCAGACGCAGCTCCCAAGTGCCGCCTGTGTGGACCCCAAGCAAACAAATAAAATTGATCTAGTGAGATGGTACAGCAGTTAAGGTTCTTGTCTTGCATGTCGCTGACCCGGGTTCAAGCCCTGGTACCCCATACGGTCCCCAAGCCCCAGCAGAAGTGATCCCGGTATATAAAGACAGGAATAAACCCTGATTACTTCTATTTTTTTTCTTTTTGGTCACACCCAGCGATGCTCAGGGGTTGCTCCTGGCTCTGCATTCAGGAATTGCTCCTGGCAGTGCTTGGGGGACCATATGGAATGCTGGGGGCCGAACCTGAGTCTGCCGCGTGCAAGGCAAACGCCCTCCCCACTGTACTGTTGCTCTGCCCCCCCCATGAGTGCGTCTAGTTGTGGCCCCAAAGCCAAAATAGTAAGGAAACAAATAAAATGAAATCATATTTCTAAAAACAATTTTTAATTAAAAAATTAAGTCTCAATTCTAAGATGAGATTAAAGGTGAGAGCTTTATTTTTTTGTTTTCTTTTATTAGCTGCCACTCAGGGCTTGCTCCTGGCTCTGTGCTCAGGGATAGCTCCTGGCGGTGCTCAGGAAACCAACTGGGGTGCTGGGGATCAATCCAGAACTGGCTGTGCAAGACAAGTACCCTGCCCCTTGTACTGTTTCTGACCCTAATGTGTGTTTTTGAAGTGTGAGAAGGCCACAATAAACTACTTAATTAATTCCCAGCGTGTCAATGCTATTAAATACTAAAGTAGAAGATTCCCCTCTAGCGGTGTGCTCTAGTCACACCATCCTTTATCTTCAGTAACACAATTCTGCTTTAGAGTTTTCAGTGAGGTTGACTAGTTACTGTCCTCCATGGGGGTGAGTGAGGCTGCAAAGATGCTCAGCAGTAATGCAGTGCTGCTCTGGCATTTGTGCTCAGCCACCACCAAGGTCCGTTACTTTTGCTGGTACTGGTTTTAAGGATAAAGATTACCCAACAAGAGACATCAGAACCTGGATGTGAAGCCCTAGGCTTAGTGCCTTACTGCCACCTGGTGGCCACAAATTATCCTGCGGTTTGCAGCCACCGTTCCACATACCTGATAATTGTCAGTGGCATCCCCCAGAAGCCCACCAAAGGTGATTGCATTGGTGATACAGCCGAGGTAGATGAATAGGATGGCAGAGATGGACTGAATGTGGAAGCCATCGTAGAAGTCACTTGGGAACCAAGGCAGCTTCCTTTTGACGTCCAAACACAGGCCGCCGAAGAACCTGCTTGAGACAGGCCAAGGGCTGCTTCTCAGAGCAGAGCCTGGGGCGGGGCAGGGTGGGCTGTCACAGGCACTCACGGAACCTGAGGTCAGGAGGGGGCCCTGACCAGGGGTGGAAGCAGGCGGGGGTCTTTCTGACAGATTAGAGGGGATCAGGACAGAATGTTTGCATTCAAGCCCTCTGTAAGGCAAAGATCACAGATAGATGAAAGGGCGGAAGAAGTCTGAGAGGAAAACACTCTGGGTCGACCAGACGTTGCACATGGGCTGGAACACTGGAGTCCACACAAGGGTGAGACCCAGAGGCCTGCGCCGGCAACCAGGGTGTATAGGGCTTCAAGAGCAAATGGTGCCCTAGACTACAGCACAGACATGCCCACTTTGTACTGGAAGGTTTCCAACTGTGACCCTGGTTTTGGAGTCTGAGGAAACCAGAAACCATGGTAGTGGTGGTGGGGGGGGTGTTGGAGGGGGATTGGAGATGGTGAAGTTGGGCTCAGTGTCTGCCAGTCTGTGCTATACCCCATGGTTTCTGACACAATGCATGCCACGGGTGCCACGGATGACTGGGGCCGGACGACTCTGTTGTGCTTTGTAAAACACTGCGCACCAGCCTCAGCCTCTGCCCACTCCATGCCAGGGCTGCGTCCTCTCCAGTTGAGACAAACAAAATGCCAGTGTCCCCGTGTGAGGGTGGGGTGGTGGGCTAGGTCGCACCCAGCTGAGAACTATCGTGGTCCTGGCAGCCAGGAGCATATAAAACACTGGGCACTATTCTCAACGTCTTGCTCCCAAATCCACATCAACCCCAGGGATGACTTGGGCTGCCAAGGGAACCCAGCCAGGGAGAAATTTCTCATCTTCTTCCAAAAAAAAAAAAAAGATGCTTGAGATGCTTGGATAGAGAACATTAAGAGGGTAAGTTAAGCACTGTAGCACTGTCCTCCCGTTGTTCGCCGATTTGCTCGAGCGGGCACCAATAACATCTCCATTGTTCCAGTGTGACACTTGTTGTTACTGTTTTTGGCATATCGAATACGCCACAGGGAGCTTGCCAGGCTCTGCCATGCGGATAGGATACTCTCAGTAGCTTGCCGAGCTCTCCCAGAGGAAGGTAGGAATCGATCCTGGGTCAGCCAAGTGCAAGGCAAACGCCCTGCACACTGTGCTCTCCTTCCAGCCCAAGTTAAGAGGGGGCTGGAATAGTAGTATAGCCACAGGGCGCTTGCCTTGCTCACAGCCAACCTGTTCAACCCCAGGGCTCCCCAGCCTAGGAGTGATCTCTGAGCACAGAGCCAGAAGTAAGCCCTGAACACTGTTAGGCTTGGCCCAAAGACAGCAAAAAAAGCAACTGTTCATGGGGCTGGAGGGATAGTACTGCGGGCAGGGCAGTTGCCTTGCACCCAGCCCACCCGGATTCGGTTCCCAGCATCCCATATGGTACTCCAAGCACCACCAGGAATAATTCCTGAGTGCAAAGCCAGGAGTAACACCTCTCCCCCCACCCCAAAAGGAAAAAAAAAAAAAAAACAAAGATACCAAAAACCTGTTCGTAGTAAATTACACCCCCTCCCCCTCTCAAAGCTATATGGAGATCTTACCCCACCTCCATCCCCCAGGACCTGTGAACTGAAACATGTATTTGGAACTCCAATTTCTGCAATTTCTGCATATCATGGAATTATCATGGAATCGTGGAGTTAGCATGGGGTCATCGGGCCCTGATTCAACAGGATAAATGTTCTAATAGGAGGAGCAAGGAGCAAGCCATGGGAAAACAGACAGACAGACACACGCACGCACACGCAAGCACACGTGGGCGTGGGATCACGTGGCTCCACGCGCAGGAGACCCCGCAGGACAGTTGCACCCGAGTCCCCGGCGGAGTGTCACCCTGCTGGCCTCCAGATCCCAGGCGCCCTGAAAGGTGCTGGGAAAGCGGGTGCCCGCGCGTGCCGCTCAGCTCGCGGCCGGTCCCCTGCAGGGCAGCCAGGGCACAGGCCGGGAAGGGCGTGAGGCCGCGGGACCCCGGGCCGCAGGCAGGGCGTCCGGGGGTCTTCCGCGGAGGCTGGGGGGCGAGCCGGCACCTTCCCGTCCAGAGCAGCTCCTCCCCGAGCTCGTGCACCGCGGGCATCTCGCAGTCGTCCCCGCCGCTCCCGCCGCCGGCCCCGCCGCCGCCGCCGCCGCCCGCCGCCGCCGCACCGCCCGCCGAGCCGTTCATCTGGCCCAGCTCGGCCACCGAGAACACGGACTTCCTGGAAGGAGAAGTGGGCACGGGCACTGCGGGTCCGAGCTGAGAAGGGCCAGCTCTCCAGGGCTGCCCTCACCCGCCTGCGAACGTCCCGAGCGGCTGGGAACACCGACAAGACGAAGGGAAGGGGCCGCCTTGCCAGACACCTGGATTCAGCGGATTCCAGCCTGGCTCTCCCCCTCTCCCCCTCACCCTCCCCATCCCCCCGCCTCCCCCTCCACCCCCCCACTCCCTCTCCCCCCACCCCTCTCCTCCTTCTCCTTTTCCTCCCTCTCCCTCCCCCTCACCTCTTCCCCCTCCTTTCTCTCCCCCTCCTCCGCCTCCTCTTTCCCCCCTTTCCCTCCCTCTCCCTTTCCTCCCCTCCCCTCTTTGTCCCCCTCCTCCTCCTCCCCCTCTCCCTCCTCTTCTCCCTCCCCTCATCTTCCTCCTCCTCCTCTTCCCCCTCCTCCTCCTTCTACACTTCCTCCTCCCCTCCTTCTACCTCCTCTTCCTGCTCCTCGTCCTCCTCCTCTTCCTCCTCCTCATTATTATTATTATTATTATTATTATTATTATTATTATTATTTAGTGAAATGAAAAGTGAGGCCAGAGGGGCTAGAGTGATAGCACAGCGGGTAGGGTGTTTGCTCTGCACCTGGCTGACCCAGGTTAGATTCTCAACATGGTTCCTCAGCCACCGCCAGGAGTAATTACTGAGTGCAGAGCCAGGAGTAACCCCTGTGCTGGGTATGAGGGGAGGGGAGGGAGGGGGAAGAGAGAGGAGAGAGGAGAGAGGAGAGAGGAGAGAGGAGAGAGGAGAGGAGAGAGAAATAACCCCTGAGCACTGCTGGGTGTGGTCTCCAAACAACAAAAACAAAAATTAAAAGGTATACACCCAAAAGTATATGCACATGTATCTTCAAATCTGTTAAACTGACAGCCGCCCCCCCCACACACACACACACCACCAACACACACACCAATTCTCATACACACCTCTTGTCCGCAGACGGGACCTTCTTGGGGGGCTCAATTCGGATATTGGGGTCCCATTCTCCAGGGGGAAGGACGATGACCTCATCCAGAAACTCATCGATTCCTGCGATCAGATCCTCCCGGTTCCGGGCTTTGTATGCCACATCACTGAAGAGCTGGGAGGGCAGAGGGCAGGGAAGGAGGTGAGCTCTCCCTGAGACCCTGGTCCCAGGGCTGCATCACAGTTCTGAAGAGAAGTCACCCGAGCCATTGCTTCTGCTGCCAGCAGGCTCTCCTCAGCCCACCCTCATCCACTGCTGTGGGAATGTTGGGCAGGTTCAACCTCTTGAAAACAATAAGAACACTTCTCAAAAAAAAAAAAAAACAAGAATTCAACTTCCATATGACAGCAATTCCTCTGCTCATACAAAGGTCCAAAAACACCATGTCAAAAGGACAGTCACATGCCTATGTTCATTCTAACACTATTCACAATAGCCAATATCTGGAAACAGCCAAAGAGTACCAGAACAGATGACTGAATAAAGAAACTGTAAGAGTACTAACAACAGCAATCAGGCATGTAAAAGAAATCAAATGGACCCAAAATGAAAAAGAAGACAAGCTATCACTATTTGCAGATGACATGAAAAATATTCTTAGAAGACCCTAAAATGTCCACTAAAAAACTCTTAGAAACAATCAATACTACAAAGTTGCCAGCTACAAAATCAACATATAAAATTGGTCCACATTCTTATATGCAAATAATGAAATAGAAGAGAAACGTATCAAAGTCACTCTATTGAAAATACCCAGGGGCTGGAGCTATAGTGCTGTAGGGAGGGTGCTTGCACTGCATGCGATCGACCGAGGTTCAATCCCCAGCATCCCATATGATTCCCTGAGAACTGCCAAGAGTAACTCCTGAGTGCCGAGTCAGGAGTAACCCCTGAGCATCGCCAGGTGTGACCAAAATTAATTAACTAACAAAAAAATAAAAATGCAGTTCAAAAACATGAGTCCCTAGGAATCAACTTGACAGAAGATGTAAGACTCCTTATATCATAAAAAACCATGTCACTTTCAAAAAAGAAGTCCTCATGACCTGAAAAAGTGTTCCATGTTCATGGACTGAAAAAATCAATATTGCCAAAATGATCAACCCACTTAAATCATTACATATGTCCAACACAATCCCTGTTAAAATTCCAATGACCTTTTTCAAGGACTTAGAATGATCAATAATAAAGTTTATATGAAATCCTAAAACACCTTGAATAGCCTAAGCCATAATAAGAAATATAAATTGGGAGATATCTCATTAACTAACCTGAAACTATATTATAATGCTACAGTAACCAATTATTGTCAGCTGCTATAATTTGCGGACTCCACGCCAGGCTGTTTTCACTTGGGGCGCCCCAGAGGGGGAGCGGCCAAGATCCCTCCCCACCCCAAGGGACCCAGCCCAGGCAGCCAACCACCACTACCCAACCACCATCACCCTCCAGGCCACTTTCCAGACACTTGGACCAAGCCTCACACAGGAGTGAAGTCCCACGGAAAACAGGTAATGCGGAACTTTGTGAGCTTGGACCCTGGACTCAACAGGACCCGGGAGTAGAGATCCTTTGACTGCTTCCCTGAGTCTCCGGTGACCCAGGAGTCACACCCAGAAGATACACCCTGCTTTGCAGCCACGCGACACAGCATAAGGCACTTTCTATCCATTTTCCATAATTACCACACCATGTTTGATGGAGTTCAGAGAGTAGGCAACAAATTATATATATGTACATATATTATATACGCATATATATATGCCTCTCAGAGAGCTCAGAAAGCTACTGAGAGTATCCCACCCGCACGGGAAGAGCCTGGCAAGCTCCCAGTGGCATATTCAATATGCCGAAACCAGTAACTATAACAGGTCTCATTCCCCTGACCCTGAAAGAGCCTCCAATTGTTGGGAAAGACGAGTAGGGAGAAGCTGCTAAAATCTCAGGGCTGGGATGAATAGAGACATTACTGTTACCCACTCGAGTAAATAGACGAACAACAGGATGACAGTGATACAGTGACACAGCAATCAAAACAAGAGGGTACTAGAATAAGGACAAACTCTCTAAACAGTGGGTTAGAATTGAGCACCTGAAGTCAAAATCCTCGTCTATGCTCAATTAATTTTGACAAAGAAGCTCAGTACATGAAATGTAGTAAAGATACCCGCTTTAACAAATGGTATTGGATTGGGAAAACTGGTTAACTGCACAAGCCAAAAATGAAGCTAGATCCATATCTCAGACTTTACACAAAGTCAGCTTACAGTGGATCAAAGACCTGGAGCTCAGACCAGAATCTATAAAATGCACAGAAGAAAATGTAGAAAGAATGCTCCAAGACTTGAATTCCAAAAGTGTCTTCACTGATATAATTCCACTGGCAACTCAACAAGAAAAAAACTGAGTGAATAGGATTAAATCAAATTAAAAACTTTCCGCGTAGCAAAAGAAACAGAGTAAAACTAAAAAACACCACAGAACAGGAGAGAATATTAACACTCAACTCATCAAATATGGGGTTCATATCCAAGATATATAAAGCACTCACTAGAATCAACAACAACAAAACTAAACCAAAAGCCTTCTCAAAATATAGGGAGAGGAAATGAACGGCTATTTCTCTGAACGAGAAAGACTGCCAAGAGGCACATGAAAAAGTTCTCATTATCACTTATTATCAGGTAAACCAAATCAAGACAATGAGGGGCTGGAGAACTAGTGCAGTGGACAGGGCATTTGCCTTGCACAAGGCTGACTTGGGTTCCATCCCAGTATCACAGACGGTCCCCTGAGTACTGCTAGGAGTGATCTCTGAGTGCAGAGCCAGTAGTAAGTCCTGAGCACCACTGGGTGTAGCCTAAAAATCAAACAAACAAACAAGACAACAATGGGATGTCATCTCACACCAGGGAGAATGACACATATCCAAAAAAAACTGGGAATAATCTGTGGTGAAAAAGGAACTCATCCACTGCTGGTGGGAACATCATCTAGTTCAACCCTTTGGGAAACAAATGGAGATTTCTCAGAAAAGTAAGAAAAGAGCTGCCACACATTCCAGCAATTCTACTTCTTGCTATCTATCCCCAAGACACAAAAACACTGTACAGAAGGAGATGTGCACACCACTATGATGGCAGCACTTAGCACAATAGCTAGGATACGGAATCAACCTAGATGTCCAGGGCTGATGGGTGGATAATACAAGTTTGGAGCAATAGTATGGCAGATAGGGCTTGCATTGCACGTGGCCAGCCAGGGTTCGATCCCCATATCCCATATGACCCCTAGTCTCACCAGGAGTGATTCCTGAGGGTAGAGCCAGGAATAAGCCCTGTGCACTGCCAGGTGTGACCCAAAAACTAGAAAGGAAAAAATTGTGGTATATATATGGAATGGAATACTATGCAGCTGCAAGGGAGGATGAAACCATGCAATGTTGATGGAACTGAAGAATGGAACTTGAATAGAACTGAAAGATATCCTGTTAAGTGAACACTGTCACTGTCCTCGTTCATCGATTTGCTCAAGCGGGCCCAGTAACGTCTCCATTTTGAGACTTGTTGTCACTGTGTTTGGCATATCAAATATGTCACGGGTAGCTTGCAGGCTTTGCCGCGCGGGGGAGATACTCTTGGTAGCTTGCCGGGCTCTCGGAGAGGGACAGAGGAATTGAACCTGGCTCGACTGGGCGGGCTGCGCACAGGCAAACACCCTAACGCTATGCTATTGCTCCAGCCCTGTTAAGTGAAGTAAATCAAAAGAAAGATATCAGAAAAATCTCACTTATCTGTGGTATCTAGAAAAACAAGACAAGGGAATGCAAGTATCAAAGGGCAGATACCTAGATTACCCTAGATGCTAGATTATAAAAATGAGAAGTACAGGGAAGGAATGGAGACTCGGCTAAGAAGAGATGGACAGGAAGTAGCAGGGTCAGGAGCCAAGGGTCCCTAGCACAGCAGTGCTGTAGAGGTACACGTGTATGTCTAAAACACAGAGCTAATAGCATGGAAAACAGGAGGCTCACACTACAATAACTGAATTTAAAATGTGCCTGTCAAGGAGGCAGACTAGGAGTGGGGAGAGAACCTAGGAACAGTTTTGGCAGAGAGAAGGTCACTCTGGTGGGACTGGTGTTGGAACATTGAATGCATGAAATTCTGTTATGAGCTACTTTGTAAATAATGGTTCCTCGATTTTTTTAATATATTAAATAGAAATAATGAAAAGAAAGCTGGAGATAAAGGATGAGTACCTGAGGCCTTGGTGATTGTTTCAATAAATAGTTCTCAGAAGAATTTATTTCAAATGAAACAATCAGGAAACTACCAGGACTGCAGAGATCATACAGGGTTTAAGGAAACTTGCCTGGCATGGGGTCATTTCGAGCCTGACCACTGCCAGGGGTCAATGAGCCCTGAGTAAATCACCACAATTTACAAAAATCACAGAGCCAGAAGTCCAACCTGTGTGCTGCAGGTATGGCTCCAAGGAAGGAAGGGAGAGAGGGGGACCCCACTGTCATGTCCCCATTCTCACTCCTCAGCACACAGGGCCTGGCACAGGTGAAGCTCCCCAGAAGGGCTCCGGCCTGAGCCCATTGATGGAGAAAGCAGGGCTGGATGCAGGACAGTGGGGAACGGGTCCAGGTACCATCACTTACATCATCTACCATGAGGGTTGCTATGGCGCGGCCAATCTCATTGTAGGATCTGGCTCTCCCGGAAGGGCCCAGAAGTATGAAGAGAAATCTGCAGGGAAGATGGAGCAGGAGAGGGCAGGTGAGGAGGGGGAACGGAAGCCATTGACGACAAGGGTTCTCTGGCCCTGAACCATTTCCTTTCTTAGCTCTTTAACTGGCTGTAAACTTGTCCCTACCTGCTTTGAATCCTGTGTTTACTTGGCAAGGACATCTCTTCCTCCCGGCCTGCTAGCATCCCCTGGCATCTTTTCCATGCCCCATAAATATACCAACCTCACCCCACAGTGACTCTCCCCGCTGCTGACATCTTTTTCCAGATGATTTAGGGCTGGAGTGGTAGTACAGGGAGAAAGGCACTTGCTGTGCATGTGACCAACCGTGATTCTACCCCCAGCACCACATATGGGAGTAAGAGCTAACTCCCAGCACCGGAGCTAGAAGTAAGCTCTGAGCACAAGCTGGCTGTGGTCCCAAACTCCCCAAAAACATAAAGATAAATTTACAATTTGATGTGGACAAGTATCACCGGTGGCTGACACTTAGGTGTGGCTTAATTAGTGCAAATTGCCGTAGCATTATTAGCACAAATTGCAGTGTCTGGTGTCAACATGTTTGGGTCTGTTTGTTTGTTTGGGCCACACCCAGCAGTGCTCAGGGATCACTACTGGCAGGCTTGGGGACCGTATGGGATGCTCGGGATTGAACCTGGGTCAACCACATGCAAGGCAAAAGCAACACCCGCTGCACTATCGCTCCGGCCCCTGTGTCAGCATGTTTTAAAATGAACTCTAGAGCCAGAGAGATGGCACAGTGGGTGAAGTGCTTGCCTAGCATGCAGCAGACACAGGTTTGTTGCCTGGCACCCACTCCGGTCTCCCAGCACCACCAGAAGTGATCCCTGAGCGCAGAGCTAGGAGTAAGCACCGAGCATCCCCAGGTGTGGCCCAAACCAAAAGATGATTATGAATGTGATTGAATAAACTCTAAGGCTTCCCCCTAGATCTCTTTCCCTCCCTGGCCAGCTCCTTATTTCCCCTCCTCCTCCCTGGTGGTGAGGCCAGAACCCTCACCTGGTGGGGACAGGCACCTCGGTCACCCCTCCCAGCATGGCCGACTGGACGAGGCGCACGAAGGCGATGAAGGGCTGGTCCAGAAAGTCCACCTCGCCCACCAGCACGTTGGACGCTTCCGAGTCCTTGGGGATCTTCTTCATGAACTTGTTCTTCCTCTGGGCAAGGAAGGAAGAACCACGCGCCTGGAGAGTCTGGCGAAAACCATGCCCGCGTCCTGGACGCTGCACCCGAAACTCCTGGGCTGCAGCGGCCCTTCAGCATGGTTGGCCCCAGGAAGTCCAGGACCGTCCACATCTTTATACCTGGGAAGGAGCTGGCCAGGACCCCACGGGCGTGGCTCAATGGAAAGGTAGGCTGAGGGGTGGGAGAGGCAGTCCCCCTTCCCTGCCTGCTGGCTGTCCCTGCGGCCCGCGCATGTGCGTGCGCACACACGCGCACACACACACATGCACACTCACACACACACACACACACGCATGCACACTCACACACACACATACACACACACAGAGCCCATCTCTGCCTGCACCTGGGCAGCTGACACAAGAATCAGGCAAAGGCTTCTGCTTCCCCTTTGCCACCAGCTTCCTGGCTGGTAGCACCCCTCCCTGGTTCATGCTCCAAGTCTGCCCCCAAGTCACCCCAGGGGGCTCCCAGGAAAAGCTCCCCAGCTTCAAAGCTTTTCCAACAGAGACCCCAAGGTAGCCTCTCCCAGTTTGTCTGTCCAGCAGGACAATGAGGGGGGCCATGACCTCAGGGAGGGGTCGTGAGACCCTTCCTGTACCTCCTTTGAGCTCTTCCAGTCCCATGGCACAGGGCGAGCAGGGCTTAAGGTCGTGGTGTGGAGAGGATAATGAGGGGTATTTGGGGCCTGCTGGGCAGGACACAAGCACAGAGGTAGAGCGGGGGTGGAGAGGGCTGCAGTAAGGATAAAGCCTGTAGGCCCAGAAATGTCTTCTCTTAAGCTCAGTGAGGGCATGGCTCTCAGCCTCCCCGGGATGGGACCTGGCTGCCGGTCCACACTGCGTCCCGAGTCCTCTCACAGGGTGAGAGCACCCTGACACCACGGACACCACAGGCAGAGCGCCCTTCGGCTTGTGGAAGGCAAGTGAGTGAAGAAAGACTGCTCCTTTATAACCTTCGCTTAGCTAGGGGCAGAGATAACCTCGGCTGCTCTGTGAGCAGCCAGCTCCGCACGGCTCCCTGAGGACCCCTGGGAGTGGCCCTGAGCACAGAGTCAGGAGTGACTCCCAAACACAGCCAGATGGGACCTATTTTAAAAACAAAAGCATAAAACACAGGGCCCGAGATATGGTACAGCAGGGAAGGCATTTGTGTTGCCTGCAACTGACCCTGGTTCAATCCCTGACACCCTATATGGTCCCCGAACACTGCCAGGAGTGATCCCTGAGCACAGAGCCAGGAGTAAGTCCTGAGTACCACCGGGTATGGCCCAAAAAAAGAAAGGAGGAGACAAATGAGGAAGAGGAGGGGGAAGAGGAGGAGGAGGAGGAGGAGGAGGAGGAGGAGGAGGAGGGGAGGAGGAGGAGGGGGAGGAGGTGGCGGCGGCAGCAGCTGTGCCCTAGATAATATGCCAGTACCCCATTCTGAAGTTGCTGAGGAGTGAATCAATCCCACTGAAAGTCCTTGGGCTCATTCAAGTCTCCGAGTCCCTGAGGGGACAGAAAGACCTGCAGCGTCTCCCTGAGAGCCCACAAACTCGCCCTGAGACCTAAGGAAAGACTTTCGCTTGCCTTCCACCAAACTTGGGGGGTCCCTGAAGGCCTAGAGTTCACCCAGTTCTCAAGAGCCAATTTCATGCTTTCCTTCCTCCTCTGCTTCCTGCTCCCGAGGGCATGAGCCCAGGGCAGCGCAGGGCTTCTACCCAGGAGCAGGCAGAGCTGGGCTGAGGGCCACCTCCTCTGGGCCTTCCTGGCTGTGGGGCGGGAGGGGGTCATGCGCCTGAGACTTGGATTCAACCTGGTTGTAGATACCTTGTTTCATCAGGGGGGTTCGGCCATGATGGTGGGGGACACCCCTGAGGGCTCTACAGGGTTTCTCGGTAAGTCCCCCCACACCTCGTGTCATTGTTAATGCTCAGGACTGACTCCTGGCTCTGCGCTCGGTGACCACTCCTGGCAGTGCTCAGGGGACTATGTGGGGCGCCAGGGATTGAACCCGGGTTGTCCACATGCATGGCAGGTGTCATACTGGCTGTAAAGTCACTCCATCCCCCCATTTCATCTTTAAAGGCATCTGTTACCCACCCCCCACCCCACCCCCACGCCCCTTCCCTGCTCTGCAGGGCCTTTGCTACCTGGTCTGTGTTTGGCGTGTGAGAAATGTCATTCATGCTCCTGCTCTGGGCGTGACCTAGGAAAGAAGAGAGAGAGAGAAAGGAAGCCCAACTCCTGCCAACTCCTGGACCCTGAGCTCTAGGCAGGCTCCCCTCCCCTTCACCACAGAAGCAGAGCCCTGCTCCCCTGACTCCCAGCACCCCCAGCAAGCATTTGCACCTTGACCCCCTTCAGTGGCAGCTTTCCTAAAGATTAGCTAGACCCAGGGCTCCCCTTGCTCCTCTTCAGCCCCCCACCTGCCACTTGGGGGGAGGGGGCGCGGGCATTGGGTGTTGTGCCCAGATGTGTGGGTGTGTGCCGGATCCAGAGGGAAGGAAGAGACAGGCGTGGAGGTGGAGTATTAGAACTTTCTCCTGGGGCTGGAGCGATAGCACAGCGGGTAGAACATTTGCCTTGCACACGGTGGACCAGGTTTGATTCCCAGCATCCCATATGGTCCCCTGAGCACTGCCAGGAGTAATTCCCGAGTGCAAAGCCAGGAGTAACTCCTGTGCATTGCCGGGTGTGACCCCAAAAAGCAAAAAAGAAAAAAACTTTCTCCTGCCCCCACAGAGGAAGTTAGCTCTCCTTTCCCAGGAAAAGCCAAATCCCGGAGGCTTCCCAGGCCATTTCTCCATTCTAGAATCACCTCTGCCCCCCTTGACCTCCCCTTCTCTTACCCCGTCCAGTATCCTCTCCAAGTGGGCTCGCCCCAACTCGGTGTCTTAACCCTCCTGCCACTAGGGACCTCACCGAGACCCCCCCACCCCCACCCCAGGGTCAGGGAAAAGATTTTCTACACCAGTGTTTCCCAAAGCGGGTGCTGGAATGATCCAGAAGACCATCCAGGCTCAGGAGCCACTGGAGGGTGCTTTCTTTTGACTTAAGGGGACTGGATTTTCAGGGGGTCGCCTGAAAATCAAGAGACCCTCTGCCCTAGACAGCAGCAGGTTCCCCGCTCTCGGTCCGCCTCATTCCTACCGCCGCCGCCAGGAGGCGCTGCTGCGCAGGCGCACTCACACAGCCGTCCGTAGGTGGCGCTCTGCCGCATCCGCAGGTCCTCGGTGGAGTGGTGCAGGCTGGGGCCGGCCGTGGGGCTGCGGGCCGGGCTGCGATCTGCCGGGAGCAAGAGGCATTGTCAATGCAGGGTGCAGCTCCCCAGGGAGCCAGCGTGCATTTATAGTAGAGAATAAAAGGTCCCCTGAACAAGGCTGGGAGGCCAGACAGCTCTTCCCTTCCACGTAGACTGTTTTTGTTTCTAAAGCAAATTAATTACCTGGATTCAGTTACAAAGAAAATCTTTGTGCGACTGAAAGTGAGATTCAGTTCATCAAACAGGCATCGGTGTGGTAGTCCCGGCGGGATCACCCTTGGGTTCCACCACTTACTGTCTGTGTGGTCCTAGGCGAGCAATTTAACCTCTCTGTGCCCTACCATGGTGCTGTTGTGAGAGGAAGTGCTTTCACTCACACAGCCACGCCCAGAACTCTCTTTTAAACAATTTAGCATTAAAACACATTAAGCAATTTGGGGCTGGAGACAGTACAGAGGGTAGGGTGCTTGCCTTGCACGAGGCAAGGCTGGGATCAATCCCTGGCATCCTATGTGGTCCCCTGAGCACCACCAGGAGTGATTGCTGAGCACAGAGCCAAGGAGGAAACCCTGAGCATCGCTGGATGTGCCCAGCCCTCCTCCCACCCCAAGTGTTTTCATTGAAAGACGTTCCCCAGGACTCATTTGGCAACTGGAGAAACTTGGTCCTGGTCACTGCATTTATTCGGCAGGTTCAGCAAGACTGTGTCTGCCCCCCTGGACGGGTGTGTCAGGAGTGGAGGGACTCAGACTGGAGCTTCATGAGTGCAGACCCAGGCGCTGATACTGAGGATGGCACCGCCCCAGCACCCTTGACTGAGCCCAGCAAAGCCCCTTCTGCCACTTGAATACTGTTTGCCATGAGGCCCTGGCTCTTCTTGCAGGTTCTGTAAGGAATTTTAAATTCTAAATTCTGGTAAGGAACTTTAAATTCTAAATTTTAAACTCTAAATTCTTTCCACAAACAGGTCATTTCTAGCAGCAATTTGCACCCCTGTCAGTTTGTGAGAATCTCCAGCCGCCGTGCCCCTTGGGGCTTAGGGGCCAGCATTAGGGCAGGCTTCAACCCCCAGGTGACTGCACTGAGCAGCCAGGCTGAGCTGTCCCTGGCAAAGAGGCAGAGGAATCCCCAGAATCCATCCAGGATGGGAAAGGCCTGAAAGATCCTCATCACCAAGGTGAGCTCCCCTAGCCCTGGGGCCTTCCTGTGCCTGCAGGGACTCACTGGTGGTGGAGACGGACTTCCCAATGTCAACCAAGGAACGGTGGATGGGCTTCTTGGTCTGGTGGCGGTGCTTCCGCAGGAGCACATAGCTGACCCTCTCCCGGAGCTCCGGCCGCAGGAGGCCATCCTCGATTTGCTTCTCAATGACATCATCTGTGGGAAAGGAACAGGCACCATCAGCAGGGCCCCAGGGTCTTTGGTCTCATCTGCCATTAGGGGGATTAACAGTGAGTGAGAGCTGTTAATCCTCCTGGGGAGCTTGAAGTCATGGGTCACCGAGGACATGGGCAAGCCCAGTGCCCTCAGCCTCCTTATATAGAGAAGTGGGGGTTGGGGGGGGCAGGGCAATAATACAGCAGGTAGAGTGCTTGCAGTCACAAGCTTGATCCCTGGCATCCCATATGGTTCTCTGAACACATCCAGAAGTCATTCCTGAGTGCAGAGTCAGGGGTAACCCCTGAGCATAGCCGGTGTGGCCCAAATACCGAAAAAGGAAGGAAGGAGAGAAAGGAAAGGAAAGGAAAGGAAAGGAAAGGAAAGGAAAGGAAAGGAAAGGAAAGGAAGAAGGAAGGAAAGAAGGAAGGAAGGAAAGGAAGGAAGGAAGGAAGGAAAGAAAGAAAGAAAGAAAGAAAGAAAGAAAGAGTGTATGCACGTGTACGTGTGTAAAAATGAGGGGTGCTGGAGTATAGAACGTTGTGTTACTGTAAAACATATATGAAAAATAAAGTCCAAGAAAATACCCAAAGAAGGGCAGGAGAGATAGTAAAGGGGTACACAGCTGACCGGTATCCCCAGCACTGCATACAGTCCCCAGAGCACCAGCGGGCTTACTCCTGAGCAGAGCCAGGAGTAAACCCTGAACACCGCTATTCTGGGTACTCAAAGAAGCATCAAAGTACTGTTTTAAACAGCTTTGTCCCTATCATGAATTCCTTTAATAAAAGCTTTTGGTGGGGCTGTGGGGGTCAGGGGTGAAGCGATAGTGCAGGATTTAAGGCGGTTGACCTGAGTTCCATCTGGCCCTGCCAGGAGTGATGCTGAGCACAGAGCCAGGACTGAGTCCTGAGTACTGCCGGGTGTGGCCCAAATCTCCCCTTTCCCCCCACCCCAAAATGCATTTGGGCCATAATCCTTTGGGCAAAATGGAATGTTTTAGAATAAAATCCAGTCACAGTTGTCATAAGGCCAGCGACCCCCTTCCTTTGCTTCACTGCATCAAGGCAGCTGATTTCCCAAAGCTGAATGCAGTTGGTTCACACTGGCGAGAATCAGGTTGCCCTCCATCCCTCCCCCACAAGACTTGTCACCGGCCACAAGCAGCTGGGGTGGGTCTTCGCGGTTGGGGAGGGGCCTCCGCGGCTGGGGGCAGGTCTCTGCGACTGGGGGCGGGGACTCCGCGGCTGGGGGCGGGGACTCCGCGGTTGGGGTCGTGGTCTCCGCGGTTGGGGCAGGACCTCCGCTGCTGGGGCGGGGACTCCGCGGTTGGGGGCGGGGTCTCCGCGGTTGGGGACCTCTATGGTCCTGTCTCACCTATGATCTGTGGTAAGGAACCGCTGTCCAAGTCCAGTAGCACCGTCCCCGTCTGCAGGCAGGTCCGGAGCTCAAAGAGGCTGTGCAGGGACAGTGTGGATACGTGGGGCTTGCTCCAGCGTTCGCCACCTTCTTCTACCTTTTCTTCAAACTTTATCCACCTGGAAGGGGTTAGGACAGGTGAGGATGGGTGCAGGCTGGCCAGGGCCCTCAAGGGGACCCCAATATCCGGAGCATCCCGGGAGAGGGGCCAAGCTGTGCCCAGTGTAGGGCTTTGGTCCAGGGTTCACTCACTGCCTCCTCTCCCTCAGCTCTGCAATGTTCAGCAGAAAGTGGCCTTCAGAGAGAGACCAAGGGATGGGGTCGAGTGTCTGGGGGCCTTTCCATTATCACTCTAGACTGGGTTGTGGTGTAGCTTCTGCACGCTGGCTATGAATGACAAGTCAGCTGGGAAGTACTAAGACTCATTTAAGTGTACACTGAAGGTCTGGAGCGACACACAGCAGGTGAGATGCTGGCCTTGCATGCAGCCACCCTGCTTCCATTCCCAGCACCCCATGTGGTGCCCAGAGCCTGCCAGGAGTGACCTTGAGTACAGTACCAGGAGTCAGCCCTGAACACAGTCAATGTGGCATCCCCTCCCGCCAAAAAATTAACAATTAAAAATTAACGTTGACTTAGAATTAAGGAACCTTATGATATTCTATAATATTAAAACTTTTCCAAAATGATTTTCCAACCATGCCCCCTGGGACAAGGGCCAGTCCTGGCAACAATCAGCTGTGAAGACCGAAGAATCAGCTCTGCCCAGCAATGCATCGGGCCTTGGGGGGGCTGGAATCCAACTCAGGACCTTGTGCTTGCCTTGGCATATGCTCAAGCCCTTTCCACTAACTCCCCTTTAAGTTACTATAATAATTAGTATTATTATATTTAATAGGCTAGAGCAATAGCACAGCAGTAGGGCGTTTGCCTTGCGCGCAGCCAACATGACCGACCCGAGTTCGATTCCTCCGCCCCTCTCGGAGAGCCCGGCAAGCTACCGAGAGGATCTCGCCCGCATGGCAGAGCCTGGCAAGCCACCCGTGATGTATTCAATATGCCAAACACAGTAACAACAAAATCTCCAATGGAGACGTTACTGGGCCCGCTCGAGCAAATCGATGATCAACGGGAGGGCCTTTACCTTTACCCTTATTATATTTAATAATAATAGCACTGTAGCACTGTTCTCCACTGTCCATCGATTTGCTCGAGCGGGCACCAGTAACGTCTCCATTGTGAGACTTGTTGTTACTGTTTTTGGCATACCGAATACACCACGGGGAGCTTGCTAAGCTCTGCCGTGTGGGCGGGATACTCTCAGTAGCTTGTCAGGCTCTCTGAGAGGGACAGAGGAATCAAACCTGAGTTGGCCGTGGGCAAGGCAAAAGCCATACTCATGCTATCACTCTAGCCTAGAAAGAAGTTAAACAAGACAAATAAGAAAGATTGCTTAATCAAGAAGAATCAGAAAAGACAACATCGTAAGGATAATCACTCTCCATGTTTCCATGGATGCAATGCACTCTTAAAATCATAATAGATTTTACCTTCTTCTTTGTGCTAATAAAACTTTAAAAGCTGGTTTTAAAATGTACATGAAATAGTAGAGGACAAAGGATAGATGAAACCTTGATTTTCCACAGAAAACTCAGAAAATGTGCTCTGGTAAAGGTAAAGGTAAAGGCCCTCCCGTTGATCATCGATTTGCTCGAGCAGGCCCAGTAACATCTCCATTGGAGACTTTGTTGTTACTGTGTCTGGCATGTCGAATACGTCACGGGGAGCTTGCCAGGCTCTGCCGTGCGGGCAAGATCCTCTCGGTAGCTTGCCGGGCTCTTCGAGAGGGGCGAAGGAATCGAACTCGGGTTGGCCATGTTGGCTGCGTGCAAGGCAAACACCTTACCACTGTGCTATTGCTCCAGCTGTGCTCTGGTAAGGACTGTTATTCAAATCTTGCCTACCATTTTCCTGATTTATTTTCCAGTGCTATTGAGAAACAGCAGAGAAGTAAAATTGTATATATTTTAAATATATGATGTGATAACTTAATATTCATATACTTTCTTAAATGGTTCCTAAGGCCAAGATCATGAATACATCCATTACTTCACATAAGTTTTCTCATTTTGTGTGTGGTAATAATGCATAAGATCTACTCTCATATAAATTATAGTAGGGTTTTCTCCTTGTCTTTGAAAAACTCATTGGAATTTTAAGGTTATTACATTAAATCTGTATAGTACTCTGGGTAGAATGGTCAGTTTAACAATGTTGATTTTTCCAATTCATGAACAGAGAATGTTTTTCCATTTCCTGGTGTATTCTTCTATTTCTTTTAGCAGTGATTTATAGTTTTCACTGTATAATATCTCACCTACCTTATTAAGTTTATTCCTAGGTATTTGTAGTTTTATTCCTAGGTAGTTTTTCCCACAATTTTGAAGAGGATAGTCTTTTTTTGGGGGGGGGGGTCAAACCCAAAGATGCTCAGGAGTATCTCCTGATTCTGCACTCTGAAATTACTCCTGGCGGTGCTTGGGGGACCATATTGGGTGCTGGAGATTAAACCCAGTTCTGCTGCTTTCAAGATAAGTGCCCTGCCCACTGTACTATTTCTCTAGCCCGCAGAGAAGAGTCTTTTCATTTATTTTTAATTCATTTTTTATTGAATCACCATGAGATAGACCATTAAAAAGCTGTTCATAATTGGGTTTTAGTCATATAATATTCCAACATCCATCCCTCCATCACTGTACATTTCCGACCACCAAAGTCCATTTTCTCTCCCACCACCCTCCCAAACCCCACTAGCAAAAAAAAAAAAGCAGGCACTTTTCTTCTCTCTCTCTCTCTCTCTCTCTCTCTCTCTCTCTCTCTCTCTCTCTCTTTCTCTCCTCTCTCCCCCACCCCTCTCTCTCCTTTTGTGCATTATGGTTTGTAACACAGGTACTAAGAAGTCATCATGTTTGTTCAAGGAGTTCAGTATTTTTATTAGGAAAGTACAGCTGGAGTATCCTTTTTAATTGGGTGGCAGCTTTGGGGTATGGACATGACTACCAGGCTTCTGGAATCACAGGGAGTTGGAGGGAAAGTAGCTAATCCCAACTCTGAGAAAAAGCCTGGAGATTTCAATCACAAAACCCACATTCCAAATTTTCAGCAGGTCAATTTCTCAGTGCGGTCTGTCTCAAACTGTGAGGTCTGTCTCAAGATGGCAAAGTCTAGCCAGGGACATGAAGGCGATTTTGGACTGTGGGAGCAAATGACTGCCAGGGACTCTGTTTGGGCAGGCACTGGGATAACCTGTCTCCCTCCGATATGCCCTGGTTGATTCAGCCATGCATGGGTCCAAGAAGATTTATTAACTTAAGTATCAAATGGACCCTGGTTACCCAGGGCTGCCTTATGTGATGTGTTTTTCTGGAAGCAGAGAGAGCATCCCATGGGAGGTGTGTGCTGAAAGTAGATAAAGGACGAAACATGATGATCTCTCATTATCTGTATTGCAAACCATAATACTCATAAGAAGAGAGAGAGGGGGGATGGGAGGGGAAGAGTTGGGATACTGGGGACATTGGTGGTGGAAAACATGCACAGGTGAAGGAATGGGTGTTCGATCATTGTATGACTGAGACTCAAACATGAAAGCTTTATAAGTGCAGTGCATGGTGATTCATGAGAGAGAGAGAAAGCATCCCTGTGACATAAAGTTTTTCCCCACTGTTCTGCTTCCAGATCTGAGGGATTTATTCTGAAAGTTCAGGTTCAAATCTAAAAGGTCGTCTGGGAAATAAAGGAAGACGGAAAGATGGGGGGGAAATTGTCCTTTCTACAAATCGGGGCCAAATAAGGGAGCTGATGCAGCTGCACCATCTCGCGCTTCCCTGCAGGGGGCAGCACCGACACGCCGGCGCCCGCAGCGGGGCGGAGGACCGTGCAGAGGGCGTCCGTCGCAGGAGAGCACCTTGCTCAGCTTTCTGCCTTGTCATCTTCCATTTGTGGTAGACGCTGTTCCAGCCAAATCCCAAGGGAGTATTTTCAAGCCCAAGACTGTAACTCTGAAGTTGCACTGAAAAAGTAACATCTGAGAAGGGTTGGTGAAACTGTAGCTAAAAATAGGGCTGGGACCTGCTTTAAGCAGGTAAGTAATTGCTTGAAAAGCTAGAGTAATGAAAACAAACCAGATTCCAGTCCAGATGCAAACAAGGGCAACCACGGGACAAAAGTCCAGAAGCAAATCTGGGCCTCCGTGAGATTCTGGGTTTTGGTGGAGGGGTGTGTTTTAAAAATGATCAACATTAAAAAAAGAAATTTTTAAAATGATCAACATTTAAAAAAGAAATTTTTAAAATGATCAACACTAAAAAAAATTTAAGTTTCTATTTCCCACCGAATATGATATTAGAAATTCTAGGTCATTTAAAGTCTCGATGTAGAACCTATCTGCCACAAAAAATTATTGAGTCTCAGAAAGGCAGGAAATTTGATTTGGGCTGCATTCTACATGAAGTTTGAAGACATGAAGCAGAGTGGCATTAAGTCAGCCCAAAAGGACTGTGTCATTCCACTGAGAGACACAGTCACCGAGTTCTCAGGACAGAAAGCAGAGGACTTCTGTCAGAGCAAAGGGAATGGGTGAGTGGAGGGGTTATGTGGGTCTCAGTTTTATAGAATGAAGTTTCTACAACTGCATGACAGTTCTTTATGCTACTTCATGGTAAAGTTAACCATAGTTAACTGGTAACTTTACTGTGATAAGTTTTATAACATATTTTATGATATAAATTTATATAATATTGTTTATATAACATAGTTATAGTATATATTTTATTTCTTATGTTTTACTATGATATATATTTTCCCACAATTGAAAGAATGTTTCAATTTTTTTTTTGGCACCACACCTGGTAGTGCTCATGGATTACTCCTGGCTTTGCACTCAGGAATTATTCCTGGAAGTGCTCAGGGGACCATATAGGATGCCGGGATCAAGCCCAGATTGGTCATGTGCAAGGCCAGCACCCTCCCTGCTGTATTATCACTCTGGCCCCAGAAGCACATTTTTAATCTATAAGCAAAATACAACTGTAGCAGAATATTGGAAGGTATTCTTCTA